CCGTTCCCTTGACGTCGATCGTGACCACGAGCGCTTCCATGCCGTGGTCACCGCTGCTAGGTTGGTCCTCTAGGGTGAAGGTTATGGGCTCCATTTTTTGTCTTTTCCCGGTCTCTCGGGAATCTACGATCGCCACCGGGCAATTCGTCCTTGGCTGGGAAGCGTCTTCTAGGCCACCAAATATGACATGGATGGTGGGCTTGCCGACCGGGCGACTGCTGGTCGGGGGATCAGGGTCCCGTCGGTCTTCATGACGATCGTCCCTTCGATCGTCTCTTCGGTCCTGACCCGACCGATCGGAGCGGTGATGAGATCGCCTGTGATCCCTCCGATCGGTATTCCTCTTGCTTTCCTCTCTCTTCCCCACGCACTTGTCCAATTTCCCCAAGTTGAGCAAATCCTCCAGCAACTGGCGCAAGTGGGTACACTCCTCGGTGTCATGCCCGGCGCATCGATGGTAAGCACAATGCTTACTCTTATCAGGGCCGTCTCGATCGGGATGGGGGAGTTTGATGAGGTTGCAGGACTGGGCATATTGCATGGCCTCCGCTGCAGATCGGTTTAAGGCCGTAAACTCGCCATGCCTGGCGCGGGGTCGGGGATTGTCATCTCCCGACCGATGTTCCGCCCGGCCGGCCGGTTTACGGGACGAAGACCCGACCTCTTGCGAACGCTTCACGGCATTCGCCTCACCAGCATTGGCGTAGTCTGTGACCCTTCGGAGGGCTTCCTCGTATGTGGTCGGGGGGTGAAGGATGAAATCCTGGTATAGATACCCCGCCCGGAGGGAGATGTGAAGCATGTGAATGGCGGTCGCATCATCCATGGGCTCGACCTCCCCGACCGCTGCCTTCCACTTGATGAGGAAGTCGGTCAAGCTTTCCCCTTCGAGCTGCTTGGCCTTTTCGAGGTACATATAAGACTTCCTCACCACTTTGGAAGTAATGAACTTCCGTACAAACTTGATCGCCAGGGTCTCAAATTTGTCGATTGACCCCGGCTGCAGGGTTCGAAACCACTCTGCTGCCCGACCGGTGAGGGTTGAGTAGAAGGCCCTGCACATCACGGCGTCTGAAACGCCCTTCAGCATCATGTTGCTGAAAAAATCATTCACGTGAGCCTCAGGATCTGTCCGACCGTCGTAGCTCTTCTCACCCGAGACCTTTAAGTCGAGCGGGTAAGGCTGAGCCATTACCGCTGCTGTGAAAGGCGTCTGGTGGAGGGTCAATCGGTCGGTCGGGGGTGTTGTAGGATATGCACTCCTGAGCTGCGCAACTTCCGCCTGGAGGTTGTAAAGCAATCCTCGGGTTTCGTTGAGCTCGGCGTTCTGGGCGGCTTGGGCTGTATCCCGAGCGCGTCGCCGTCGGTGAGATCTCGACCCGCTATGCCCAGACGAAGCCTCCTGGCTGGCTTCCTGCATCTGCGCGTCTTCTAACCGGCGATCTGGATCTTGGGGTCCCAGTCTCTGCCGCATTTCCGGTCGAAGACGGTCAAAAGCTACCGCTCGGGCAACTTCCTCAGGATCCTCCGCTCGGGCAGGAGCTTCCCCTTCTTGCTGGGCCTGCGACGCCTCCATCGCAACAGCACCCCCCGACCCCAACCGCGAACGAGCCGAGCGTCGAGCCCGGGAGGTGGGCTGATGCTGCGGCTCTACCTGAGCGGCCGGGTACACCGGAGGGGCGGCGGCTGGAGCCGTGTACGCAGGTGTGTACGGCGCGTAACCGACCGGTGGTGTGTAGTATACCGGCTGGCCTGGCCAATACCCGTATGGTTGGGGTGGGACCGGGTAGGGATACTGACCGGGATAGACCATGTGAGGCATCGGTTGCTGATATTGCTGACCGGGTTGCTGGTACCCTGGTTGGATGTACTGCACCGGCTGTTGGGCAACCGGGTATGCATTCGATGGATGCGGTGGCGAGAGGTTGAGGTTGAGGTCGACCGTTTGACCTTGCTGTTGGGTAGCATGGTGGTCGGATAAGCTCGCCGCATCCGCCTGGTCGTCAGCAAAGTTGTTGCGTGCCCACGGATACATGCTGGTATGGTGATCGGGTGCTCGTCAAGACGTTGGCTTGTTGCACGGATCCCCCACAGACGGCGCCAAAATGATACTGCTAATTCTACGTAAGCAATATAAATAACACAAGACCAAGTAAAGCAAGTAAGTCTTTATTGATCAAGGTAGAGTTCCTAAGTACAATCTACTTGGTTGCTCTGAGTACCAACTGACTGCGGTCGGGAGTCTCTAATAACAACCTATCGATCGTCCAAAAGTCCCCTACACTGTAGCTACTGTGGGCATTTATAGCCGCTGTGCCGGAGGCAAGATCCCAGCTGCTCGGCATGTCTTCCACGTAGCCACCACGTGCCTTCCTCCTGGGTGCCCTGCCTGTCGATGTAAAGAGCCGCCACGTGTCTTTAGTCAGCTCTCTCGCCGAAGGACTACCGCTCGGGGTTGACACCCTCGCCCGGGCAACTCCCGGTCGGCTCCCGACCGGGTTCTTCTCAAAGAGCCCGACCTGTTACCTGCAAAGACAAGGAGAAAGAGACAAAGACTCCTCGGTCGTGGTGAAGCTATGTCGGTCGGGATATTCCCTACCAATGTTTATAATACATATACACATAAATATGTTATAATGAACATGAATTATATGAATTATGAACATGAATTTTATGCATTATGAATATAAATTACGTGTATTATGTTAAGTGTTTATGTGTCTTCATTATATCGTGTGTATGTGTATGTGTATTATGAACATAATTGTTGTACATTATGAAGTCAAATTATACCCTAGTTCACGATATAAATTGCCAGTTGAGTGGGTAATTTCAAAGTTAAAGATATAAGAGATCCATATCATCAGCAATGGCGAATTATACCGTGGACCGCGGTTCACAATTCATTGTGGTCCAAGCATCAAAACGATGTCATTTCTTTTAATGAAAAAAAAAACGGCACCTAGTCTGCACCGTCCGCAAAAAGTAACTTTGATTGTATAATATATTTAGTTTAATTTTGTATACACTGCAATTTCATTTCAACACAACTACATATTCATTTCGATATAACTACAGTTTCATTCGATATTATACACTCAAATATGTGAAACTGTTATTCAGTTTCATTTTATATACGCTATAGTTTCATTACAACACAACTACATTATCATTTCGATATAACTACAGTTCCATTGCACAATAACACTCAAATATGTGAAATGTTATTCAGTTTTATTTTATATACACTGTAGTTTCATTTCAACACAACTATAATGTCATTTTGATATAACTACAGTTTCGTTATACAATTTACACTCAAATATGTGAAATTGTTATTCAATTTCATTTTGTATACTCTGCAATTTCATATCAACACAACTACAATTTCATTTAAATTCAATTGCACTTTCATTTGATAATATAAAAATAATACGTGAAACAGTGTCAGTTTAGATACACTGTAATTTTATTTGGTAATTAACACACAAAAAATATGCGCTTTGTTAAATGACATAAACGATAGTATGAAACTAAATTTGAAATTACAACAAAAGACAACGGACATATAATAGAATTAACTCTTTATTAATGTGTATAACTGCTATTTTTTATTTTATTTTTTTGTTTTTTGTTTTTTTGTTTTTTTGTTTTTTTTTTTTGCATTGATCAGGATGCACGTGGGCAATTTGGTAACTTACTTGTTTTGTGTATCTATTCCATTTTCAGGTTATTTATGATCTAGAGAATATGCTAATATCAGGATTCCAACGGAATAGCTATACTCATCATTGGAATACAATTATCGTTACTAAATTAAATTACCAAACAACGAAATAATTAAACATAATCTTATAAATATTATTATATTTTCGGTCTATTTTATAAACCAAACATGTTCTTGCAAGGAAAAAAATATAATAAATAAAAAAACATGAAACGAGCATTATGAAATTAAACTCGAGATTATATAATAATTCAATTTTGTGTCAATGGCGCTATGATCTAGTGACACAAAATGATTCTCTAATACGCGAGGACATGACTTTGAGCCTGAGTATTGTAACATAATTAATACTACAAAAAATCACCCAATTTCGTATATATATTTAAAGTTCAATGTAAATGATGATAAAGAAATGAAAAATAAATGCATGTTGTAGCCTTGTAGGTGGGATAGGGATAGGGTAGAATACTAGAATATGGGAGAGGAAGGGATAGGGTAGAATAATGTGGCAATGGGAATTAATGGATGAAGGTGGGTTCACGAGAGTGGTGGTGTAAATAGTAAGGTGGGTAAACAAACAACATGAAATATATAGATGCGACATATAATTTTCAGTAATAATAAAAATGCATATTTTTGAAATCGACCAATATTTTGAAATTGTTGTTAGAACAAGGTAAAAACAAATTGTTTTTAAAGAAAAAATTTGAGAAAATAGCCAAACATTTCATATAACTTTTTTAAAAAACCTTGTATTGTAAAAAACTCAAAAAAGGAATTAACACACTTGAACATACACAATAAAAAAATTAAAATTTACAGAAATGCGTGTGTGTGTTTTTTTTTATTGTGACAAGAGAAACCGTTGTCACTATTCAAAGTATGCACTTACGTACCTCCACCACATTGTCACTAAAAGTAAGAGTAAACGTTGATTGGTAAATCACCTGAGCTACATAATTACCTTGAATAAGATAGTATAGTGAATATAGCATGATTCTTTTACATAATAACAAAATTAAATTTGTGTACACCTTAAAATAATTACAGTATAATTTACTCGTACTAATAAAATAAAACAAATTTTAAAAAGTCATGAAAATTTGGAAAATGATAGATAACCAACACTCATCCGGATCTTCCAATTTGGAAGAGGGTGATTGTAAAAAAAAAAATGTAAAAATAATATTAAATTAAGAAAAGAAATAAAAAGACAAAAACTATATCCATAATAAGGTCCCTTTCTTCCTCTTAAAACAACTGAAAATAAACAGAAAACCATTATATTTCACTGACATCCTCCAGCATCTGACATCTGTCCGCCGAAACCATAACGAATACGGAAACGGAGGAGGGTTGCAGAGTGGAGTATGATCGGCGTCCGCCAGTCCGGAGCGAAGATCATCACCGTCGCCGTTAACATATAGCCGCCGTACGTTTGTTTGCTGATCAGAGAACGGTACGTCTCGTACGTCATCCGCTCGCGCTCGCTTTTAATTTCGCGATGGAAGAGCTGTTGCCTCCTCCTCGTACCGGGAAGGATCAACGGGCGGCGGGAGTGGGCATCCTTCTGCAGATCATGATGCTCGTTCTCTCCTTCATCCTCGGCCACATCCTACGCCGCCGCCGCTTCGACTATCTTCCCGAAGCCAGCGCCTCCCTCTTGATCGGTAACTAATTTTTTCAGTTCTTCAATGTTTACATTTTGGTACAACTGTTTATTCTCACCGTACAAACACTGCATGAAGATGCGTATCGCAATATATATATGCTTTGTCTGGCAGGTCTAATCGTTGGCGGTCTGGCTACTATTTCTGATACTGGAACTAGCATTAGGTATTAATATTGCACCTTCTTCCATATTTTGCTCTGCATATATGTATTTGTTATTGTAATGATGAACTCGTTAGATATTTTAACTGATGAGTCTTTTTCTCCCCCTTTCGATCCTGGATTCGACTTGACAGGGCATGGTTGAATTTTCATGAAGAATTTTTCCTCCTCTTTCTGTTGCCTCCTATCATATTATATCCATATTCAGATTTTATTTTATTTTTTGTACAAAACCTTTTTATATTTTCTATTCTTTTTTCCTAAATGATTACCAAAACTTGTTTCCTTGACTGTCTATGCTACTCAATCAGGATTCAGTCTATCACCTGTGAGTTTTGCTAGTTCCCTTTATTATTGATTCACTTTAACTTAACTATTTATTTGATTCCATCTGACTTGTTCATCTCTCATGTCGTTTCAGAAACCATTCTTTTCAAACTTTGGAGCCATAGTAACATTTGCCATTTTCGGAACATTTATTGCTTCTATTGTTACAGGTGTCCTAGTGTGAGTACAATAATTGAAACTCTATTTGTGATTCCTTCACCTTTGAATTATAGGTGCTTCTACACCCATTTGTGCCCTTAACAATTCCCTAAACCATCCTTGAATGAGTTTGGTTGCAGTTACATAGGTGGAGTGATTTATCTCGTGTACAAACTTCCTTTTGTTGAATGCTTGATGTTTGGAGCTCTTATATCAGCAACCGATCCCGTTACCGTTCTGTCTATATTTCAGGTGAAGTTCTACAGACTACAGCATAGCTATAAGGAATGTATAGAAGTTGGTATCAGTACAAAAAAAAAAAATATTCAGTACCATTTGGATCTACCTCTCTTGTAACTCAAAGCATATACTTATATATATATATATATATATATATATATATATATATATATATATATATATATATATATATATATATATATATATATATATATATATATATATTTACTACTCCATTATTTACTGTGGTCAAATATGCCCATCCTTTCCTACTCTAATTTTGTTCTTCAAAGGGTTTGAAATGGATAGAATTTGCAAGGTAAAATTACAGAGTAAATGTTTTTCAACAAAGTAGGGGCCCAAATAAAGACAAAAAAAGATAGTTACAATTTAAAGAAAGAAAAAGAAAGCAAAGAGGTGAGACATACCAACAATCTAAATTTTTCACTGTTGATTTTAAGTTTCTTTATATTGTAACTAACTTCTCTTTACATGATACTATAGGAGCTTGGAACAGATGTCAACCTTTATGCTTTGGTGTTTGGTGAATCTGTCTTAAATGATGCAGTAAGATATTTGCTTCCTTCTATTTCTGTGTTTTTCTGTTTTCTTCCACTTTTTTGTTTAGTTATATGATATTAAGTTCACTAAGAAGTTTGGCAGTTTTCTTTTTTAATGTTTCTCTGTTTCCTTTGGCACAATTGGAAGATGGCAATATCTTTGTACAGGTTAGTCCACTTGAAAGTTGATAGTATTTTTTCTAGTAAAGAGAAATACCGGAGATTCATTAATAATCCCCATACTACTATTTTGAAGGACATTTTCACTAGTGAGAAGCCATATGTCATCTGCCGATAGTTTTTTAATGGTTATTGTCCATTTTCTTGAGACATTTGTTGGCTCAATGTCATCAGGTTAGTTTTCACTGGTTGCTTTTTTGTCTTTGGGAGTGACTGCAAATAAAGAATAATACCACTGTGGATGACATGCACAGATCATGATAATTACATGCTAAATTTCTAGAAGTAGGAGTTTTGTGGCTGCAAGTAAACATGTGTACTTTCATTTTGAGGCTAAGCTAAAATCCAATGTTCAATGATATAGAATATTTCAGTGCAACTGCTTTTAACAATATTTGTAATTTTGTTATACACTGTATTTATTTTGCTTTTAAATATATTGCTTACCTCTGTATTTATAATTTTGAAAAGAAATTGTGGCTTCTAACTTACCACTCCTGCCTCTACAGGTGTTGGTGTTGGATTTACTTCTGCATTGATATCCTTTTCAGTTGACCCCTTTTCAAGAAGCATCTTCCACTGATTATTTGTGTGGACAGCACCAAAATAGGTCATGAGCTTAGGTGTCCTAAATCTCACACCTCTCCAACCATCATTTAGATAGTGGCAACTTTGTTATTTATTACTAGAACTCTCACATTCAGTTTCCAATAAAATTGACCTTTCCTGCTAATCTTTAACTCCACAAATCCTGACTTGAAACTGGTACTTAAGTGAAAAATTGGCAGATGCCTTGTACTTTTATGTTTTAGTAAAGAAAAAGACCTTTTTTTGGTACATATAAGGGGACTGTGAGATAATATCATAACCCAGTTCATTGGCCTGGAAAGTGGAATTGGAGTTGGCTTACCACCAAGCTACTCTGCTAATCCCAGAAATGAAAAAGAATGTGTGGAGAGAGAGAATAGCATCTAGAGGACAAGACAGTAAATCATTAGCCACTGAAGTCTAAATACAAAAGACAGGAAGCAGAAGAAACCATAAAAATGATAGTCTCTCTGATCCTCAAAAAGCTCTGCAACAACGTAGCCAGATCTAACACCCACTTCCACAAAAGATCCATACACAATAATAGTAAATTTCCCAACCCAATTTTTCTGCGTCTGTTACTTATGTGTCCCAATTACTACCAAACACCAGATATCATGATTTTCTGAACCTTTTATCCTATGGCCATTTCCTAGTACTGTCTCCTGAATATTACCAAAGAGCAGAGAACATTTCTTTCTGAGCTTTTATCTATAGCCATTTCCTCTTGAAGCCCTTGATTATGTTGTTAAAAAGTCCCACTCTTCAAGTTTGTAGCTTGTAAAATGCACTGTGAAGCCTTAACTCTCCAAACCTTTTCAAATATGCTGGATTTGATATTGATAAGTAAGCACATAATCCTGTTGATTTTAAATCTGCATTTGATTTATCAAAAAATAATAATTGTGTCTCACCCACTCCATGCAGTCTTCAGAACCTGGAGTGCTGTCTGTTTGTCCTTTTCCCATATTTTTCGTAAGTTACTTCCACCTGTCCCAGTCACTGTGTAAAATGTTACTTTGATTTGGACCATCTGTTTTTGACCATGAACAAATGTTGTAATCCAGTTACATGCTGGCAGAAGGGCTTAGTCTCTCCGGTATTGTATCTATATTGTTCACCGGAATTGTGAGTTATAGCTTTTTCTGTTCTTTTAGTTACCTTGCAGTTGGAAAATGATTATTATATTCATAATAAGCGCTGATGCAGATATATATCTGTTGTTATTTGTCTTAGGTGATGAAACGTTATACTTACTCAAATTTGTCACGCAGTTCTCAGCGATTTGTATCCGCATTTTTTCATCTGATATCATCATTGGCTGAGACATTTGTGTAAAGAGCAGTTGTCATTTGAGATTTATGGTCTTAATTAATTTCTTTTCCTAGTAACTTTGAGTGATTTTCTCTTTGTTCCACATACAGATTCATATATATGGGCTTTGATATAACCATGGAGCAACATAGGTGGACGCATGTTGGATTTATTTTCTTTTCAATTGTATCCTTGACACTTGGTTGTGTTTGTTTGTAGACAAGCTTTAAGTAAACCATCTATTCTTGGATCCAATACTAGCCGTTCAGCATTCAATAAAATGACCTGCTTAATGGGTATAGCCCCTTCAGTTTACAAGGTTATCATATAAAATGCATTCAAAGGAGAAGTTTTATCATAGAAAAATGTAATTATCATAGGCATCTTCTTAATTAAGATGCTTCAGTCTACAAGATTATCATAGAGCAATGCAGTTGCATAGGCATCTTCTTCTTAATTAACTTTAATAAACAAATGCTATAGCATGCTTTTACTTCCTTAACTTGCTTTCATGTGCTAGCTTTTCATCGGAATTGCAAGGTGAACTTTGCCAAATTTTGTTCTTTCACACTCTAGACTAGATTACTATTCTGTTATTGAAATTCATTTATTTATTTATTTTTGTTTCCCTTTTTTCCCCTGTGATTGAATTGTTTAGTATCCTTACGTGACTACAATTTTCATGTGATTAATGAGGATCTAAAATGTAGTTTGAATCTTGCTACACATAAATTACTAAACCATTTTCTTACTTCTTTGAAGGGCTAGTAATGTGTTTGGTTGTGCTTATCTAGTGAATCTGGTAAGACCAGCACATCGACGAATACCACTAAAACATCAGAAAGCACTGTGGTATAGTGGTAATGAGAAGCTATTGATCATCACAGTTTCCTTTTGCCCTCATCCCCTACTGCTTGAGCTAAAGAATGATGTGCATGATTAGGACTTCGAGGGGCAATGGCCTTTGCCCTTGCTTTGCAGGCAGTTCATGATCTCCCTGAAGGGCATGGTCAGACAATATTCACTGCAACCATAACAATTGTTGTTTTGACGGTAAGCAAGATGCTTCAATTCAATGGCCATTGCCTATTTCTATGGGGCATGGAACTTGAAGGTTTTTAATTTTCTAGCAATCAACTACATATATATCTCATGGTGACTAGAGGTACTATACATTGATCCAACGTCAATGAAACAGGTTTCTTTTAGATATCCTGATATTGATAGCTAGAAATTGTTGATAGAATATGAAAACCCTTGAAGATTGTGCAGCCAAAGTTCATATCCATATCATAAATAGGAGTCCTCCCATCTTCCTGTAAAAGTACTTAGTATTTGGAATGTCCTTGACTGCTATCTCGTTCTGCCTCCAATTAGTTTTCTCCCTGTTTACCTCTTTAATCTTTTATCCTTTCTTTTCTTCAGCAGATTTTCCAAGGAAATATTTATCGTTTCAAGTAGATATCACACAACACACACACAGATATTTACCTAGTATATTGTGCTATATTATTATTGTAAATAAATTATATTTATAGTGCTATAAAGGGATCCTTGTGTGTGTGTGTATTTCTTTAATGCTGTGGCGCTGTGTGTAATTTGCAGGTTTTGATTATCGGTGGATCAACAGGTACCATGCTGGAAGCTTTGGATGTTGTGGGTGATAATCATGATGTCTCCTTGGAATTAGTATGTTTATCACTAGATAGTATATATTTCTTTTACATTCAAGTGTCATGCCTCCTGAAAATAGTGAGATCGCATTATTCTGCGAAGCAGCAGTCCTGAATAAAATACACCAGCACATGCCAGCTTGCTTATGCTTTTTAGTGTATTTTGGTTTGATATAAGAGTTGGTATAGTAATTTATATCAATAATTCTTTAATTTCTGGATTTTAGAGTTTTGAGGGAAGTAATGGCTACGGTTCTCCTGGTGATTCGGATTCATCACCAGGAAGTCGGACCAAAATGAAGCTAAAAGAGTTTCATGGCAGGTAGAAACTGATTCAAATTTGGAACTTAAAAATCTTTCATTGGTCAATTTCTTGATGCACCTACTTTTCCTTGATTGCTGCAGCACACCAGCATTTGTGGCTTTAGATAGGAAATACTTGACTCCATTCTTTACAACACAAAGCAGAGATGAGGACAGAGAAGGTAAATGTTTACAATATTGTACAAGTAGCCTGTTTTAGCCTTTTAGGGAAACTTGAAACTTGGTACACACACGAATCTACTGTCTTTTACATGCTATGTTTTGTATCTGCCATGATATTTTGGTGGGCAAATATGTGTGCACTAGAGTGAACACTGAAATATCCAATGTGAATTATAACTTTATGTTGTTGAATGTAGTGAACACTGTAATATCCAATATGAAGTATATAACTTTATGTTGTTGAATGTTGAGGAGCGAGGACAGGACCAATAGGGGAGAGGGGTTATCTGTGTACTCAACAATTACTCACAATTATGTCAATCTACTTACAGTGAACCATTTAAACCTTAGTTCTCCACATTGTGACAACTACATTTATATTTTTTTTTGTTTATAAATGACACCTGATAGGCTGATACTTAGGATTATTAGGCTGGCACATCTGGAGTTGGCCCTAGAGATGAACTGTTGACACAATATCACAATAATTGGAACATTTGGGTGATAAATTCAATGCACTCTCTTCTTTTTATATATTTCGTTTCGTTTTCATGCTTCATATTTGTTTTGAATTTTGATCCCTTCAATTTAGTTATTTTAGTGTAAAGCTCATGCCAACTATGGCCTATTCTGCCCATCTAACATGAATTATATGCTGTTTTCTTTGATGGTGCAGACGAGCCACTAAACAATCCTAGAAGGGGGGGATATAGTAGCCTTACCTAAAACTTCTGCTAACTACAACTGGGAAATACTTTCGCAGCAAAAGATGCAATCAACTCTGTAGAGGTAAAAAGATTCATGGGCTCATTGGTAGTAGCCAACAGTCCAACACATTATGACCAGAATTTATTTCGTCTAGCATTGCACAACGCTAAAATAGGTTGTTGGTGTTATTCCTAAAAGATGAATATTAGTAGAGTATCTATGGATGAAATTTTGAACTCTAGGTTTAGGTTTTGCAGACAATTGTTGTTTTCTTTAAGGTGACAACATTTGACTACTCCAAGTTGTGCGTAATTGTATATTTGCATGAACATCAAAGGTCGTAGATAGTAACACAAATTATTAGTACTCCATATTTGTGAAGTAGATAGGATTCACAACTAAAGAAGCATAATGCTGTCTCTGAAATTGCTAGCAATCTTATTCTCCATGACTCTTCCCTATCAACATTTCAAACACTAGAGAGTAAATTTAACTCATTATTGTGTTACTTGAGTATGCATTCACTAGCACAATATACACCAATCTCAATCTGTATGTCTATCATAAGGAAAAAGATGCCAAACCAAACAGAAAACAACCCAGATTAAATGCATTGCCATGGCAAGAGTGACGTACAAGATAATTTCTTCACTTCTTCACTATCAATTTCCTTGAGGTACCATGTGTGCAGAAGCAAGGCCTTGTTTTATGCATGTGTTTTAAGACAGCCTCAAGATGTCGGTGTCTCAGGAACTATGGATGGTGGAGCTTTTGTGACAGCTGCTAAGATATCAGCATAGCCAATCACCCCAACCAATTTGTCTTCATTTTCAGCCTCAGTAACCCATACATGAGTAGCACGATGTGACAACATCTGAGCCATGACTGCAGCCAGTGAACTCGTAACCTTACATGTCAAGGGAGCACTTCTGCCCCGATACATACTCCTGGCAACACCTAAGTTGGGGCTTGTGGGGTTGCTAAAGAAGCCAATGCTTCTGCTGCTGAATAATTTTCTTCGAGGAGAAGCTAAATTTGAATCTGCAGACAGTGGATTAACAGTGAAATCAGGCAGCGATCTTGAGGTAACATTGTCCTCTACGCCCATAACAAACTGGCCTGCAGAGAGATTAACCAGTGCCCATGCTGCAGCTAAATAATCACATTTCCACAATTTAGTGGCTGAGATCTCACCAATGATCTTACTATGTCCATCTATAGTTGGCTCCACAACTGCAACTGCACAGGGATCATGAGGGATCTTTTGGGTGGCATCTATCGCTGGCCGGGATGCTTCAATAGAGCAGTAGTTTGGATTGATGGCTCCAAGGAAAGAAATAGAGGAGAGGGGTAGAGGAGCCAATGCACCAAGACACCCAATAACAAAACGAATAACATCTTCTCTCGACAGGCAACAGAACTTGTCCCTCATGATGCTGGAAGCAGATGATGATGGTTGGTTGGAATTTGCAGTAGTCTGAATGTTCTTGAGCCACTTTCCATTATACAGAATAGAGAACCGCTTGCTCATGCCTTTCCAGACAACACTTTTGGGAACTAGGAGCCGCTTCACGCCATGCTTCATCATCTCCAGTGCATCTATCAATCTTCAGAAGTAAAAGGAAAATCAGAAACACACCACTCCACTACAATGCATACCAGAAGTTCAAATCTACTACAGTTCAAACAAATTTGAAGAATAGATCAGTGTGAATACAGGGAAGCGAGGGTTCATATATGTAAGTATTTAACAATACCAGAAAGAAGAGTTCACTAATCTAAAGCACAGCTAAGTTGAGTTGAGGAGAACTAACCTGGTGGCAGGATCAACCTCCTTAAGCAGAGCATTGTTGGGAACCACGACTTGGGAAACTGGAGTTTTCATTGCTTTCTCCTGATCGGCCAAGCAGTCCTCTCTAGCCAAAAAGGCAATAATGTCTAGGGAATTAAGAATGCCGACAAACCTCTGCTGCCTCATCCCCGCCTTCTCAATCACACTCTTCTGAGATCTCTTCTTCCACACCGGAATACCACACTCAGTGGACTCCCCAATCGCCTGAATCGCCGCCTCCACCGTCTCCGTCTCCGTGAACTCCACCAGCTCCGGCTTCCCAACCGTCAGATCCCCCACCACATGGTATACAAACACCGACGCCATTTTCCACGGGTAACAACAACAACACTAAAACTATTTTCAAATCGGACTACAACGAGCAGGCAACCCTAACCAGATTTGAGAGTGAAGTCGGTTCTAAAACTCCGATCTTCACGCTATAAGAGGGAATGGAGGAAGATGAGGAGGAGATGAAAAGGAGTGAGCAGAAATGTGAAGAGAGCAGCGATAGTAACAGCAGCAGGACTAAGAAGAGGAGGATAGGCCATAGATCAACGAGGAAGAGGATGATCTTGCGGAGATGATAAGGGTTTGGCCCATGTGCAAGAAGCAATCCCCAGTTGTTTCAAATGGCAAAAGGGAATCCAGAATCCAGAGATGTGAATGAAATGCAGAAAGATGAGAATGGAGTCAAACCGCTTTTGTCTGCTCATCAATCATTGATCCGATATTTCATTATTTTGCTGTATATCAGGTAAACTCACAAAACAGGATTTTCATCAATTACTCCCATAAAACAATTTTTTTATTTTATTTTTGGAAAATAACAAATTTCTTAATTTATAAAAACTCCCCAGTTGGTGTAATTGGAAATAAAACTCACAAATCAATCATTTCCATCATAGTCAAAGACCTTCTGGTTGAGGCATGACCCCTCACACGATAGGTTTAGGTTCAAACCCTATTATGAGAGTACTGACCCTTTGTGTTTCAGTAAGTTAAGAATATATATATATATATATATATATATATATATATATATATTATAATAGAGTCAATAGTATTAAAAATATATATATATTTTCATCATAAATTATTATCAAAAAATATATTAGACGATACAATATTTATTAGGGAAAAGGGTCAAATAGACCCCTAAACTTTACTCCAAAAGTCAATTAGGCGCCTAAACTTTAAAAAGATGCAATTAAACCCTCAAACCTGTCAAATTGAGTCAATGAAGCCCAACAACCGGTAAATGGCCTGCTATTACAGGTCATTTCAATTCCGGCGACCGGTAAAAATTCCGGCGATCGAGCCGTCGCCAGTCACCTTCTATTGGTCGCCTTCTCCATGGGAAGGCGCGGACGGTGATGATACGATGCACAACAGAGGAGGATTGCAACACAATTTTGACCAGGAATCAAATAAAAATTGAAGGAAGAAGAATGAGATTTAGGCGATGGTCTCCAGAAGGTCGAAGGAAGCCGTCAATGGCTACGGTATGGATTCTCCTCCCAAATCTTCCAATTCATTTGTTCAATGCGCAGATAATTAGCAGAATTTGTGCTCCGATTGGGGATTTTATTACACTGGATTCAGTAACAATACAAAAATCTAGGCCAAGTGTAGCTAGGGCAAAGGTTGAAATTGACTTGCTAAATCCTTTAATTGATAGAATCTGGATTGAATATGGGATTGGTGAAGGTGCGAATGGTGGTTTTTGGCAAAGAATTTTGTATGAATCAGTACCTTTGTTTTGTAGACATTGTAGTAGAATAGGGCATTCAATTGAGGTATGCCGGAGAAAGATGTCAGGGGAGAGGTTTGTGTTAAGTCGCCGGAATTTTTGCGGGTCGTCGGAATTCGTCACCGGAATTGAAATGACATGTAATAACAGGTCATTTACTAGTTTTTGGGCTTCATTGACTCAATTTGACATGTTTGAGGGTTTAATTGCACCCTTTTAAAGTTTAGGGGCCTAATCGACTTTTGGGGTAAAGTTTATGGGCCTATTTGACCCTTTTCTCTATTTATTATAATCAACATTATTTGTATCAGTGATACATAAAGATGACACTTTCAAGTAATGACTTCATACTTTCTCATAAATCAAAATATTATACATATTATTGATTTTTTATTTTTTGCAAATAAAATCTTAAGTTTGGCAGAGTCGTATTATTGATGTCCACCTCCGACAAGATGATAATCATAAGACAAAAGGTATCATTAAGTTTCAAGTAATTGTGTCTTGTTGGAAATAATAATCTTAGAAGTTCAATATTGTAGACAAAAACTACAGCGATGGTTGTGGGGGATTCTGGATTCATGCATGGCAGCCTGGCACCCACATTTTAATCAATGCTTTTTTTCAAAGGAAAATTATATTTTTCAACCTTTCAAGTTATTGAGTAACTAGTAGTTCCACCCGTGCGATGCACGGCAATATATTTCAACCATATAATATATATTATTGTATAATAAAAAAACACTGCCTCAAACCAATTCAAATGTATTAAACATTATTGAATACTTCTTTATATACGACGTTTGTAGTCGTATTTTTCGATTGTACATTTTCGTCATAAATCAGAATTTTTAATCCCTTAGGATTACTAACTCTTGACAATGCTACATACATTTGACCATGATTAAAAACCGGCCTCTTCAAAAACAAACCCACGTTGGACAGTGTTTGGCCCTGACTTTTATTTATTGTCATTGCATATGACAATATTAGCGGAAATTGCTTTCTTTGGAATTTAAACGGCAATCTTGGATCAGAAGGTGTTAATGACATCCTTGGAATTAAGACCTTTGTACCAGCACTTGATCCAGACAGTATTTGAGCTTCTAAAACATGATCCGCCAACTTTAAAATAATCATCCTTGTACCATTGCACAATCCCAATGAGTGATCAATATTTCTTAAGAGCATAACTGGGGAGCCAACTTTTAGAGTCAATGAGTGATTTGGAACTCCAGAACATCGTAAGCCATTTAAAAATTCCGGGGTGTGCAGATCAGCAAGCATGTCAACATTAGAATCAGATTTGCATACCGAATCACAACTGAGATACGTCCTTCCTTCAACGTTGTTATAGTCATTCATGTATTCGTTGACTGTATCTACAACATCCAAAGTTGGCGCCAGTATCGCACGATCTTTTAGATATTCATGATCTCTGTGGCCACTTCGAAACATAGGGAATGTGCTATCAACAATTGTAGCAATAGGATCCTCTCCACAGTTGAGCAAAAATTGTTCCGGAATATTTATCTCAGATTCTCCATCCATTGAATCACCAATTGTTCCATCACCTATATTAGCAATCCACTTTGCAAAATCCGCAATCTCTTGAACTTCACTATCTGATTTCAAAGCCCTAAGCCGTAGATTCTTTGTTAACCTAAACACTTTACAGCTTCTCCAAAGATAGGAAGAATTTATACTTGCTAGCACAATATCTTGCCTCGTGCCCTTTGGAATGACTGGTAGAATCTGTCTGAAATCTCCACCTAACACCACTGTTTTTCCACCAAAAGTCATATCAAAGCTGTTTGGATTCTTGGCACGCATTATATCTCTCATAGAGCGGTCCAACGCTTCAAAGCAGAATTTATGCATCATTGGTGCCTCATCCCAAATGATCAACTTACATTGCATGATCAAGTGTGCCAAAGGACTGCTTTGGCTGATATTGCAGGTTGAATCTTCGTTAACAGCGATGGGTATTGCGAACCTTGAATGGGCAGTTCTTCCTCCGGGTAATAGAAGAGAAGCTATGCCACTCGATGCAACGTTCAAAACTATCTCACCCTTAGACCTTAGAGCCGAAGATAATGCTCTCCACAAGAATGTTTTTCCCGTTCCACCGTATCCATAAACAAAAAAAAGTCCTCCAAGATTATTCTCAGCATCTTGCAATACGTTGTCATATATTGTTCTTTGCTCTTCAGTTAGTTTCTCCACCAAAGTATCATTCTCTTCCTTCATTACATTAACATCATATGCCAATTCCTCCTGCACCAGCCGATTAGTTGTTCTAGAATGATTAACTAAATCGGGTATGGGCATCCCTTGAAAGTCTTTCAGACTTTTTCCCATAGCTGAAAGCATTATTTCTATCTCCGTAAGTGCAAAATTCTTCTTTTCATCTTCTGATATAATCCAATCTGTGATAACATTATTAACAACTATTATAATTTTTTTGGTCAAATTGTATCGTAACAGTAAAAATGAATAAATACAATACCTGGAATTCCCAATTCTTGTCTAATCTTGAATTGTGCATCGTCGGACAAATGAATCCACGCAGCTTCCCACACCACCTCTGGTTTTGCTATTGAGTTAGTCATCAAGAGAGTGACAAACAATCTTCTCAAATTCACAGGTGTTGCCCAGTGACTTGCTTCTTCTATAGCATGAACATATTCCATGTCGTCATCTACTAATCCTCTAGCACAACACGCATCCCTAAAAGATTCATATTGGACGCCATCAACTTTTTGTATGTCTAAATAACTTGTGGGACCTTTGACTTTATTCAAAAGACACCTCAAATAAAATATCTCCCCTGACCCAGGAGGCACATAGAATACTCTACCGATTGAAAATCCTCTTTTCCTTGGCTGCCATTTTCTAATATCTTTCTTCCATACAAATTTCGTTGGCATTTCAGCATATGTCAAATTCCTTGCTTCAGGGTAGGTTTTATTTGCCTCAAACCATTCCAGGAACATTCTTTGTAAGATTGTTGGCCGGCTGAGAATGTTGTCAACGGGATCATCATCTGCGAAAACAACACTTTGTTGATTCGGCAAGTGAAAGCTCAATCGTTCCACTGATGGTGTCCTAAACTGTATATCAAAACCGAACAACCGCCACGATGCTTCACACGGCGATATGTACCTACAATCATAGTACATACTGATTTCATCAATAACCTGCGGTCCATCTTGATCATTGCTGGTCCTGTAAAACTCTGTTGTAACCCTGTCGTGACCCTTGTTCACGTACTTGAACAGGTACTTGATTGAACGGGACTGATTGCACCATTCAACATTAATATGAGCCCTATACTTTAACAACAAATGCCTATTGTGTGGTACAACGTACCTATTATCCAAGTTAATCCCATTGCGCGTCACGGAACGACCATTGTCTCTTCTCCGATATATAGGATAACCATCCTCATCAAAAGTTGTGCAATTAACAAACTTTTTGGGGAAATGTTTAGTACATTTACCATTCGCCATACATGGAGAAGTCAACCTGGCTTTCCCGCAAGGTCCATGCATCATAAACTCCTCAACAACTTTGTAGTATTCTGCGTCAGCTTCTTGATCAGGTAACTCAGCTGAAATAATGTGGTCCAATTTTTCTACAGAATGGGTTCCATTGATTTTATCCAGAAACAGGAGAATATGAGCATGCGGTAATCCTCTTTTTTGGAACTCTATGGTATATATCACTGTTAACAAATAAGAAGAAATAATAAATTAGAATAGAGCAAATAATAGGTACAGTGAATTTTCTCGCACATCTTGAAATAGCGGCATTTAATTAACGTACCTCCCATTACTGGTCCAAATAACTTGTTCTTCCTACAGTCTGAGATTAGAGCATCCAATTTCATTTTGAATAATCTACATATGATGTCAGGACGATCTTCAGGTTTTAACTTTCTATCATTCAAAAAGCGTTGTACCTCAGGCCACTTGGGGTTGCATGTGAATGTGATAAACAGATCAGGATATCCGACCAATCTACATATCGCCATGGCGTCCTGGTAATTTTGAATCATGTATCTAGCACCCCCTGTAAAACTCGAAGGCAATATTATTCTCTTTCCTTGAGTAGTGGGGTCAACTTCACCGCGTGTTAATGCATCATTCAAGCAATTATACGATTCGCACCTCAAACTTTTTTGGTGTGTCCTTATATAGATTAACCTTCCTGACTCCACCATTGTATAGGCATCTACCAGAAATTGTTGGAATAACCTCTTTGAATGCAATAAAGTAGATACCTCAGAGACCCTCGACATTATACGGTATGCAAAATATTCTCGAGGACTTATCCTTTGACGACCAGTTGTGTTTCCTTTTAATGTAGAGAAGGGGATGTCTTCCCTGTATCCGTCCTCACCATACGGAAACAACAGAGGGTATTGCATCGGCAAGTAAGCTGGATTTAATTCACTAATTCTTTGCAAGAGGCCACTTTTCGTCTCCACCATAATGTCCCGTTCTCCAATATTTGTATCAATATCACCGACAATTAATGCTGCCACTTCAGAAACTTGCGGCAAATTGTATGTTCTGGCATCCTTTGATCTCTTCCCAAGCAATTTAATTTTGACCTCAGCAAGTGGATTCTTTTGTAGCTCAGATCGTGCCATGCGGAATGATTTGACCAAGACATTACATGTATCCAACACTTGTTGAATATCATTAACAATCTCTACATGGATTCCGTTTTGCTCACCATCTGGCCTAGAAAGAGACAAAAAAATCATATGAATTATGCACATATAATATGAATGGATGTGCGGTATAATATGATTGTAAGTATACATATAATTAATTAACAGGTACGTACCTTACAGAATTGATACGATTACTAAGTTCATTATTAGTATCATATATATACAACTGGGCAAAATGGGGTTTTTTCCCGTCGACCGGCAAGAGACTACCAATGTAGTGAAAGTTTTGGCCATTTATCCTGAAAACTGGTGGACCACCGTTCTTGTTCATGCTTCTATCTATTTTACCACCCATGGACGTGAAGCAAAACATACTATTGTATGTTCTAATGTTTTGCAGGAATTGCTTGCTTTTTTCTCCTTCTCCAAAAAATAGATTGTAAATTGCATCTGGTGGCCTCAGGTTTGGTGGCAATTTAATCTTACCGTTGTTGCAACACATTGAATATCTTGGGGTGCCATGAATAACTGTTTTGTTTATCCTTTCTTCGTGCCAAAAAAGCGCTCCACAATGTTGACACGTGTTATTTGCATCACCAAGATCTTTGTATTCAACTACATTGATAATTAAATATTATTTAGGTCAATTATATAAGATGACCTTAAACATTTCATATTATGCATACACGTATTGAACTGATTATTATCAAAAAGGTGAATGCGATTGGTTTCTACACTAAACATAATAACGTACACCTAAAATAATTTTGAATTTACGTAAGATTATAAATAATAAAGGAATTACCATTTGGAATATGTTGTATAGGTTGTTGCGGAATTTCGACCAATCCTACGATACAGTAATACATTTGATTTAAACAACTAAATACATAAACTTTAACATTTTTTTTGTAAAGTAACTTCGCAAATGTTAGTGTATGTTGAACTTACCACAAGTGTCTTCCATTTGTTCTAAAATGCGATTAGTATTGCAAACTTCTTCAAAATCTTGAAACAAATCGCGGTTGACCACATTATGTTGGCTATGGTCTTTACCCTCATTCATGCATGGACTCTTGTTGCATTGTCTGGTAGCGACTTTATTTTAAGTAGAAAAAAAAAAGTTCAATACATAAAAATAACTACTTAAGCAAAGTTAAAAATAGATCTAACAATACTTACGGTTTGATATATTTTGTAGAGGTGATCGTGTGCTGTTCGACATAGTTATTGTACCCTCTGCAACAAATGAAAAGTTTTTGTGTCTGTCATTGATGATATCCGAGTTCTGATATGAAATAAAGAATATTAAGTATATGCCTTAATATAACTAACCGGGAAGTGTAGAGCTTGTTGTACAGGATAAATAGGGAGTTCTGCCGCCTAATACAAAATGTCTGGAGTTACTTTTGCTTGTCGTATATTCCATGAGGCATGTACTCATATTTATATTTATACTCTCTGGATTCACTGCAGGTTTCCAAAAATGTTAAAAAAATAATAATAAATTCTAAATAGTGTATTAGACCTAAGTAAATGTCAAACGGTATTACATTTGAAAAGTGCAGAGCGTTTACCTGTTGTTAGACCACTTTTTGGTGTATCACTTGAAGTACCCACTTGTAGTGGTGTGCATTCCGTATGTAACTTTGAGCTATTTTTTTTCAAAATAGCGTTGTGAGTACTTGTAACCAGAGAATTTTCAACATTTTCTGCAATTAAAAGGTGCAAATATTCATAGATAAGTACCTTTACTTTTAAACATAACGATATGATTATCTAAATAATTCCAAATAAAATACATTTGTAATATACTAATTTCTGGAAATTGAGCTACGTAAGTTATATATTTTGAAAGTGACTTTTTAATCTACCTAGTGTACATAATTGTATATAATGTACCATAAGTCTAAAAAATTACAACTTAAGTACAGAAATAAATTACATTTAAATATACTTTGAGTATATTAAAAATGTAGATGATGGACCAATTGTTCACCCAATATTGTGGACCATTATCCACAACCTAGATTTGACCAATAATTCTATAATTTAAAAATCAAAGCAAAATTTACCTACTAATTATACCCAATATAATGTTAGAATACTGTCATTTGCATTTAGGGGTCTTCTAGATGGATCTGCCATTTCTTGATCCATTCTCTTCCACACTCTCGTACAGCTAGCATCCTCTCACATCTACCTAACCTTATCTCTCTATCTGTTCAGACAAAAAACCCCATCTCCGACAGTAGAACTCGTCATCTGCCATTACAGTGTTGAGATCTTCTTTAATTCGTAGAAGATCTCAACCCCTAAACCGATTGCAGTAAGATCTGATTAGGGTTCATTTGTGAAAACCACACTGAGATCGGTTTAGTTGTTGTTCGAGGATCTCAACTATTAATCTCCGATCTTGGTTTTTAGAATCGGATCGGCATTTTTAAGGTTCTAACGTCAAGCTTCGTATCTCAATCTTCAATTACTATCCTATTCGACTACATCAGATGTAAGGTAAGCAAGTCTTATACCCTATTGTAGTTTGTATTTGCTTATAGATTAAGTCTTACCGTCTAATTGTAGATCAAATTTAAACTTTTTTTTTTGTTTCCTAATTCTAGATCAAGCAGATCAGAAAATGGGTCCGTACGGTGTTCATGACTTAGATGCAGATTAAAGGACTGAAATGCAAGATAAGTTTAACAGTACAAATTTGTTTGTCTAAATTCTTATCTTAGAATATTTAACATATTCTAGATCTTTAATTTGTTTTTGTATTATTGTCTATATACCTAACATCAGACATTATTGGCTTCTGAGTATTCCTAGGATATTATACACTAACCAAATGATACCTAATTTAATTGCAGAGGTGTAGTTGTTAGATCTATATCTACACATTCAAAGGTGGGAAGGTAAGGAGGCATCAACGGAGTTCAATAGGTGTAAATTTGTGCAATGAACAAAAAATTCTTAGGTAAAGTATAAATTTTCAGTTTCAAGCAGTGTTTATGGTACCTTGATTGTCGAATGTTTGCTTCCTTTTGCTTCCTATTATTGTAGAAGCAACTATTTTCCTCATATCTGAGCTGTTATTGTGTATGTTCCTGTGTTTTGTTGTGATTTTATTTGTATTAGAAATAGTTGTATTCAAATAGGTTAAGCTTTTATTGGGTTTTTAGCATTTAAGAGTGTAGTGTAATAGAAATGATGAAAAGCAATGATATGACTCTTCATTTTTTATTGGAAAACAACAAAGCCAATTAGTTTTTATGATATTGAATACACATGTTCCCACTTTCTTTTAATTATTTAGTTTATGATGTACACAGTTTTGTTTTCTGATGACTGGTTAAGTATGCTGTACATTATCTATGCTATAAATTATTATATAGTCTGTAAACAGGTTTTCTGTTTACACTTTTTTTTTTCTTTTCAATGTTCCAGGTTATCCTCATAAATTCATCATTTTAGTTGTGGTTTTGGAATAGATATTGTGACTAACATTTTTTCTAAGCTTTGGCAAATGATGAAGTTACAGTTTTGATGCCCTAACTGTAAACAGCAACTTAGTGGATTGCAGAGAATTAATTTTACATGTCTATTTCCCTTTTTGGTTGATAAGCCTTAATTATTATTCATATAAATAGTTCTTGTGTTTTTAATATTTAGTACATCCAATTTATCTTCCAAAGGTTATCTGGTATGTACTGTGATGTCCAAGGTGTTAGGCCTAAAATGTCAAAGTTTATCTCATATGGACTGTGATGATCCAGTTCCAAAGCAGTCTGACTTTGTAACAGTTTTAAATTATATTTACTTCAATGGATTGCAGTTTACCAAATGTTTTTACTCATTTATCCTAAATATATTCTATTTAGTATACTTTGAATAGAATAAAACTGAATAGAAAGAATATACTGTTCATATTCTATCTAAACTAATTGAGAATGTAAATGAAATTGTAACTAATTAAAGGTTGTTTTGATTGGTGGTTTAGGATTTAATTGAGTTATTTATACACTTTTCTTCTTTAGAAATTTGACCAATGTAATAGTTATGTTAAAAAAAAACACAAATAGACATTACTTTGAATTGTTTATTTTGTATTCACATTTTATCACAATTAGTCTGAATTGTACTGTTATGAGTCCTATGTACTGTTATGTAGTGTTAACATTAGGTGTGATATGTACTTTTCCTCATGTCAACAGTGTTAGTCCCAGATTGTGTACTTTGATCTCAGATAGACATGATCATACATCTTGTAATTTGAAAACAATAGTTTTATTTTGTAATGAGGAAGTTCCCTGCAGTGTTACTCCTCTATTTCAAATTTACCTGTGTATGAGTTTTTAATTGACATTTCTAGGCTTGATTTGGGTTCGGTATACATTCGACTTCTTAAAATGTAATTTCATTTGAAACTGACCAAGTGAATTTATGCTGAGTTTTTTTTTTTTTTTACTCTTTAAATAATGTTTAATTAAAGATATACGAATGATAAGTGTATTGTGTTTGTTCTTTGTTTTTTGATGCATAAAAACACCAATGATATACAGAAACTTAATAAATAAAGTCAAAAGTGTGAGCAGTTTCTTTTATTTAAAACTTAATTTCAAACTGCTTAAACTTAAAAGTGTGAGCAGTTTCTTTTTAATTATAGTTTGCTAATGATGATATTTAGAGTGTGTGAGTTAATTATTTTAAAAGAGTACGATGTTTCCAATGTAAATATACAGTTTTATTACATTATATAAAGTAGCATTTTAAACTCACACAGTTATGAAAATTTGATTACATTTGAATCTGACCAAGTGAACTTATTTTTTTTTTTTACTGTAGAAAAAACCATTATTTAAATCACCAATGTTTGTCTGTATAAATAACCATTTTGATTGTATATATCTTTTTTTGTTGTATCATACTGATCAAAGACTAAGTTGTACATTTTTTTTATGATAGTTTGCTAATGCTCTACATTTAAAGTGTGTGAGTTGTAAAGTACCAGAACAGTCTGTTACCATTGTAAATAATAAGTTTGATTACATTTGATAGAGTCCAATTAAAAATTCAGACTTAATAATTGATAGAGTACAGTTTTCAAAATAGCAGATTGCTACAGCTTAGTAATTGAAAACCATTGTGTGTTACACTGGTTGAATGTGTTTGCTTCCTTAACTACCATATACTTGTGCTTGATTCCTTGTGATTGATTCCTTGTGTTTGATTCCTTGTGGTTGCTTCCCTGTGGTTGCTTCCCTGTGGTTGCTTCTTTCTTGTCCTGCATTCAGATTCATATATCTAACAGTATATGTATAAACAGAGTGTAATGAATGTTTACCAAAAATCATAGGTAAAAAACAAAGGTAAATAGTCTAATCATAGATTAAAATAACATGAAATTGTTCAGGACAAACACAGTCCAATTTAACATGGCAAATGATCATTTTAAAAATATAAAAAAAAAAAAAAAAAACCACAATAATGTGGTAATAGTTTGTAGTATCCCAGAACAGCTCAGATTTTTTCTTGTTTAACCACCACAGTTTTTCCCTTCTTGCTAGAGGATGAAAACTGGTCCATAAGCGATCGCTTCACACCATCCGCCTGTGAATGATCATTGTCTAGGCTTTGAGACTGATGTAGATTTAATGGACTGTTGACCTCATTGTCTCCATTTGAAGCTTCCTGCATATTAAAATAAAGTTTAGTCTAAAACCTGTCAACCATAAGATTAAAACTGTACAACTTTATTTGACTTTAGTAATAATCAAAACCTGATCCGAGTCCTCCTCTTCCTCCTCGTCCTCATCTAACATTTTTGATATCAAGTCCTTGTCTTGGTCTTCAATCAGTTTAGAACAGTATGCTGGCACTAAGGCTTCATCCCTTAGAACTTTCATAACAGTGTAGGCTGAATTAGCTCCCTTCATGAACTCCATTTTTAATGATATCCTAAATACCATTCTCATACCCACTAATGTTTCCAATTCTTTGGAATGTCAGAAACCTAACAAAAAAAAAATAACATACATTCTAATAAGAAATATCATCTCAGACTCTGTATGTACGTGTTTAATTTAGAAGAAATTTAATTTTACCTTATTATACTTTGTGTACAAACTGTGTGCTGGGATACCAACTAATTCAGAACACTCCCTATCCCATAATAGGAAGGGAGCATCATCTAGACCTTTATCTAGAACAATAACTCTGACCCGATACCTTGCCATTCCTTCTTTATATTTCTTATCACAATTGGTACAAATCAGTTCACCGGATTCGTCAGAAAGTTTTCTGTTACATCCCGGTGACATGCAAGAAATGTACATCCATCCGAAAGAACCTTCAATTGCAACAATTTCAGCCGGTACATAGAACTCCCCATTCTGCATTTTTTTTGTTTTAAACTAATTGGTTAGTCTTTCATATGTAATCTATCTTATTATAATAAGAGATAAGGTATCCAAACTGTATTTATGACTCTTTATAAATATAGAGACTAACCTGTTTCTTTTTCAACAGATTAGATATTGTAGTTACAGTCAAAGCACCCCTGGTAAAGTCATCTAGGCCTGCTGATTGAGACAGCACTGTTGCTGTACTTATACTGCGCAAAGGACTGTTTGGAGCAGTTAACCTACAGGTAAAATTAATAAACAATTGTATAAATGTGTAAAACAATAGTTTTGAAAATGTAGAGTGTAGATAAATAAAAATTTAGGCACTTACTGAGACCTAAAATCAGCAAATTCCTGGTAAGATGCATTGAAATGAAGTTGGGTAGCATCATAGCAGCTAGTGATTCTGACTTCACCTATTTAGCATGATAGATGTAAATGAAGACGGGAAAACCTAGAAATAGTGTAAAAGAATAACCTAACATTATAACTTACCATTGACCACCTTTGCCCGACATAGCTGTAGAACCAAAATTAATGGTTCTTTAAGACCTGCATCATAGTAGGGTAGCATGGCACCAACATGACTGTCCCACACAGTGCACTGTAAGGTATTTCCCCTATAAGCAAGTGTGTTAGAAAAAATTTAATGTCTTGAAATATAGGAACAGATTTGTAATATGAAACTTACTCATTATCAGCCATTTTAAAGTCTATGAGTTTTGCTGGTCTACCCACTATTATCTTGTCAACTGGAGCATGGATCTCGACAACTCTGCCTATTAAATCTGTATCATCACAAAATAAATGAATAGTAGACGAAATACAAAAATAGTTAAAAGAAAAATAGCAAAAATAAGATCAAAATACTTACCAAACAGCACCTTGTCATTCACTTGAGTAGGGTCTTTCAAAGAGTCATAGTTTTTTAGTTGAAACATCTTAGTAGGAAAACCTTTGGATTTTATGGCCTTAACCTGAGTCTTATAGTTTGGCCTGATCATATACTTGTGATCACAAGTTTTGTACATATAGTAGTGGGTGAAGACCAAAAAATTTTTGACTGAATACAGCTTCCCTTCTATGAAAACATTGTTATATTTTTTCACATCGTTATTTTGCATGTTCAAATGAATGAAAGTTCCATGCAATAATGTTAGTGAAATAAATAAAACATTAGAAATAAATAAATAACCATAAACCCTAAGCCTTAAACATTGAAGAGAAAACAAAAAATGTGGATGTAATATCTGTTTAGCGCCTTGATTTGGTAGAGCAAGAAAATGGTTTAGAGACTTTAAACAGTAAAATAAAATATTACACACTATACTAAAATATAGCTCATAAGGATAACCTGGAACATAGTTAAACAGTGAACAGAGTACAAAAATGTGTACATCCGAATTCTGTTTAAAGCCTAGATAATGTAGAGCATAGATAACATAGAGCATAGTTAATCAGTAAACAGAAAACAAAAATGTGTCTTCCTCGATAATGTAGAGCATAGATAACATAGAGCATAGTTAATCAGTGAACAGAAAACAAAAATCTGTATAGCAAAAAACTGCTTAAAGCCTAGAAAATGTAGAGCATAGATAATGTACAGCTTAGTTAAACATTAAAAAGAACACAAAAATGTGTAGATAAAAATTCTGTTTAAACACTATATTTGGTTGAGCATAAATCTGTGTAGAGCCTAAAAATTAAACAGTAAAAGAAAATATTAAACTGAACATCATACATCTTTATCGCAAAACAACACTTCTCGACTCTTAATCTCTGTAGACCCTTTTTCAGGGATTTCGTAACATCTAACACACTTTACTCTGATTGCTTTCTCCCTATCGAGAGGACCAATATCCTTTACAGCTACGTACATTGACATGGTTTCTTTGCTGATTTGTTTGTTTTCTTTCTTCTGTTTGGCAGGTGATACGAACTGAAGATAAGGTGGAGTGGGGAGTGGATGCCTCCATAGTCATATGCTTATATACAATGTAATACTGCATTTCAAAATCTATGATGTTATCTTGGAAGTATGAATGCTGCGGACGACCTTTCAGTTTTCAAGAGCATGGTGATCAGACTTGAGTCTCTTTATTATGAGTGTATTTATATTTATTTATTCGAGATTTGAGAAGTATGTTTTCGAAGAAGTCTTTAATATAAAGAGTCTCTTTAGAAGTCTGTAACTAATAGAAGTCTATTTAAAATGCTTTATTTTAGTTGGTATTACCAAAAATTCGCCGGCATAATTTAATTGCACGCGTTAATCTTTGTTGAGCGCCATTTACTGTAGACCTGAGTTTATATATATGAAGTGACGTCGTTTCATTTGAGCGGGAAAATGGTTTAGATAGAAAGTTGTTGCTTTATTATAATAAGAGATTATAGGATTGTATTCACCTTTTGTCCCTAATCTATAATTAGTGTTTCAAATTTTGTCCATAAGACAAAAAATATGTCCAAGGTTCGAACCTTGGCGGCGACAGTATGGTTATTATGTCTAAAGTGGACAGATTCCTTGTGCGCACTGGCATTTGGCCCTGTCTACTAACCCATTGAGTCACCGTAATTTACATCCTCCCACATGCTCTGTCGAGTTGGAGTATTAGGAGACCCTTAGAGTTGGGGATTCAGGTGTTTCAAATTTTGTCCATAAAACAAAAAGTAAACACAACTGTCAACTAAATCCTATAACTACCTTATAAAATATAAATTAGGAATAAAAAATGTAAATTTTCCTTATTTCAAATTTCTTATTGAACCTTATCTTGATAAGGTTTGTTGTATCTACCAATTAATATTTTATTTTTTAATTAGCGTCAAGTTATACATTAAAGAAATTGTTTTCATTGACTAGTGTTTTTCAAATAAAGCTTAAATTAAAAAACAAACTTTGTATTTAGACCACAACTCATTATATTATACATGAGACTGGATAACTTTTAGACACAAATATGATGTAAATATCTTCTCTCAAATACTATCTACGAGATCATTGTGCTAAGTTGGATGAAACATTAATAGTCTCACACAATAGTGCAATTTGAAGTTGGATGACTTTGATAACTTGTTGGCACTGCATGATTCTTGACTAATTAAGGCACTTATTGCCATTTTCATTTTTGTTTTTGTTTTTTGTTTGTTTTTCCTGCAAAATCATAGGAGTGGGACAATGAAGGCCCTTATAATAAGAGTTCAACCTTTTAAAAATGGGTTGAATAAGATTCAGTGAATTCTTGAAAAATCTTCATAGTTGTGATACATAAATAAAATATGATACTCTATAGTCTTATAAAGTGTAGATAAGATGACATGAATCTTTTCAAGCTTAATCAAAGTCTCGAGTTATACTTTGCTATCCTTGAGGTTGAAGTTCTATCCGGGATGAATCTATGAGGTATTCTTTGGAAGAATAATTAGTATTATTGTGTGATTCTAGTTGATTGGTTAAATTCAAAAAAGAAGAAAAAAAACAGTAACATTTAAATAGAAAATAATTTTAAAGAAAACAAACCAAACCAAATCAAGCCCACCCATATGTCAAAACCAGTTGGGTCAGATACTCAGATATGGAAATAGTACGGGAAGTATGTTCTTCCCGGCCCAAGAGAATCTTTGCCACCGAAAGTGTCGTGGGGGTGAAATAGTCATTTCCCCAAGACGGAAAAGGAAAAGCAAAAAGGCGCCTCGCCGCAAATAAAATACACAGTGATTTTTTTTTTTTTTTTTTTGGGTTTAATAAAGAAAATTCACAAATCAAGAAAGAATGTTGGTTCTTTAATGGGAGTAACGATTCTCATTCGTCTCTGCCCAGTAGCTACTTTGATTCCAAACGCCCAACAACTCCATTGTTCTAAGAGGCTGAGGAAGATGGGTTTTGCATTTTAGACCTCTCAAACCCTTCAAATTACCAAACATGCCACTCCATTTCTTCTTCTTCTTGCTGTTATCTTCTTTGCGCCCTGCAACTCTTTCTGGGTTCGGGTTCCCTTTCCATAACGCCGGAAATTCTACCTTTTCTGCCCTTCTTGAGCTTCAAGAGGACGACATGGCTTCGCTCCTGCTGTTCAAATCGCAGCTTCAAGACCCGTATCACAGCCTGTCGAGCTGGGAGGAAGGCGGGTTCAACTGGACCGGGGTCACCCGGTCTAACCAGACCGGAAGAGTCACCATCCTCAACCTCACCGGGCTCAACTTGTCAGGCCAGGTTCATTCCTCTCTATGCAATCTTACATTTCTGGAAACCCTTTTGCTGTCTCGCAATAGCTTCAGTGGTTCGATTCCGGCGTGTTTTGGTCAGTTGTCGAATCTCAGGACTTTAGATCTCAGCTATAATGCGTTCGCCGGTGAAATTCCCGGCGCGCTTGAGAATTTGAGCCAGTTAATTGATCTCGACGTCGGGAATAACATGTTGAGCGGCGAAATCCCGGTGTGGATGGGGAATTTCTCGACGAAGCTGGAGAAGCTTAGTTTAGGTTTCAATGGCTTTCGCGGGGAGATACCGGAGAGCCTCTTGTTATTGGCGTCGTTGAAGTTATTAGATTTAGCACACAATAATTTGGTGGGGAAAGTGGGCGATTTTCGCCAGCAAATGGAGTATTTGAACCTTGAGTCTAATGGCTTCTCTGGTACTTTGCCATGTTTCTCTTCTCTGAAAGAGTCTCTTTCAGTCCTTAATTTAGCTAATAACTCTCTTGTGGGAGGGATTCCAACTTGTATCTCTAGTCTTAGAGGACTAACACAGCTGAATTTGTCGTTTAATGGATTGAGATATGGGGTTTCTCCCAGGTTTGTGTTCTCAGAGAAATTGGTGGTTTTGGACCTGAGTTTCAATGAATTGTCTGGCAATCTTCCAAGCAAGATTGTTGAGGCCCCCGAAAAGTCGGGGCTTTTGCTGCTAGATTTGTCTCACAATCGATTCTCGGGTGGTATTCCCGTGGCAATCACTGAATTGAAGAGCCTGCAGGGGCTGTTTCTTTCTTACAATGTTCTTACGGGGGAGATACCGGAGAGGATTGGGAACTTGACCTATCTCCAGGTGATTGATCTGTCGCATAACCTGCTCTCGGGTTCGATCCCGTTGAACATTGTTGGCTGTTTCCAGCTCCTCGCTCTGATGCTGAACAGCAACAATCTTTCCGGCGAAATTCAGCCGGAGCTTGATGCGTTGGATAGTTTGAAGATACTCGATTTAAGCAACAACGGGATTTCTGGCGAGATCCCGCTGACTTTGGCGGGGTGTAAGTCTTTGGAAGTGGTGGATTTCAGTTCCAACAGTCTCTCGGGTGCTCTTAGCGATGCGATTACCAAATGGTCTAACCTGAGATATCTCTCCCTCTCTCAGAACAAGTTCACCGGAGCTCTTCCTAGCTGGTTATTCGCGTTTCCAGGGATCAACACTCTGGACTTTTCTGGGAACAAGTTCTCTGGCTATATCCCCGATGTTAACTCTAACACTAGTTTGAATTTCAACAACAATGATGTTGGGAGACGCGTTCTGATTTCATTCCGCGAGCTAAGTATAAAGACTTTTGTGATTGTGGCTGACAAAACTGAGTTGAGCTTCAACTACGACCTCTCAACCGTAACTGGAATTGATCTCTCGGGTAATTTGCTGCACGGTGAAATCCCCGAGAGTCTGTTCGGCCTGCGTGGTTTGGAGTACTTGAATTTGTCACGTAATTTTCTTGATGGTCAAGTTCCGGGAAGCTTAGGGAGGATGCAGAATTTAAAGGCCCTGGATTTGTCACACAATTCTTTATCTGGTCAAATTCCCGAAAACATATCCAGCCTCGGGAATTTGACGATTTTGAACCTGTCATTTAACTGTTTCTCTGGAATTGTTCCTCGTAAGCAGGGGTATTGGAGATTCCCGGGAGCATTTGCTGGCAACCCCGACCTGTGTGTGGAGTCGCCCAGTGATGGGTGTAGGACGAAAAACTTTGCAGTGAAACACGGGAGAACGTTTGAAGACATGGATGACGGACCAATCTCGGTTTGGGTCTTCTGCATTAGTGCTTTTGTAAGTTTTTACGGTTGTGTCATCGCCCTTTTCTGTTCAGCTCGAACGAGAAACTACATTCTGCAGACAAAAATCTAATGTATTACACGCGATGGGAATGGTAACTTTCGCTGTACAGTAACTTAATTCTGATATCTAATTTGCACTTCTTGCTTCATCAAGTATAACCCCTTGTTTTCTAAAGCTTGGCTGATCTTTCATCTGCACAATTTCTTGCATCAAAGAAAATGATACTTTGTGATCAACTGTGTAATTTCTGATGTGAAATATGAGCACTGAAACCTTATTTTTCTGAAGCTGCAAATATTGTTATCCCAACCAAATTAGTCAGGATGTCGACTTAATAATCATAAGATTACAAGTTCGACTCCCAAATTATTAGTCTTATTAATTTGAGTTGGTCAGATATGTGCAACCTGGACTGATTTACCTAAAAAATTTGTTATCCTAGAGAATAGATGCATTACTTTTCCTTGTGCCACATTATCTGAACCTAATACCTAATAATTCAAGCTTTTGCTTTTATATATATATATATATATATATATATATATATATATATATATATGCACACACACACCATTTTTCCTTTGAATTTATTCCTCCCAATGATGCCAAAGAATTTGTTCTTGTTAATGGAGTTATCAGATGATCTGTCATCAAATGCAAAATCATTGTCTTTTTGAAAAAGACTGAATGCCTCCTCATTCTTTGATAAACTTTTAAATAAATAATGATGGCTGTAGTGTTGAGCATATAACTACTAATGTGCAATCCAACTATCAGCTTAGATTTTTAGTTAAGATGGGACACATGTTGGGACACATGTTTCAATTTGGTATAAACTTGGACCAAAGGTTTTGCTATTCTACGGTAAGAATATATACAGTTAATACACAGATTATGACAAATAGAATCTTCAAATCTCAGTCATAATGTTAGCAATTGACAACCAATTAACAGCCTATTCATTATTTCTTACCATTTCAAACTTAATCAAACAATGGAATTAAATGTAATTAATATTCTCGGTAGAATTTTAATTCTAATATTTTTCGCGAACCAAAACGGTCATGATTATACTGCGAGACTGATGAACAAAAGATTTATATATGGAACTATGAGGCGCTCCCCAATCGACCAATCCCATTCCATTCAAAGCAGTCAAATTCAGTTATTTCCCAAACTGCCCCTCCCTCCACGCAGAGCTACTGAGGGAAGCGACAGAAGAAGATCCACCAGTAGCAGTAGTAGTAGATGGCTTTACTCATACCTCCTTCTTCGCCGATTCCATTCCCATCTCTGGGTTTCAAAGCGCACAACTTTCCTTTCATCTTTAAGTCAACGTCTGCTAGAACCGCTCTCCGTATTACCAGGAGCACTGCCTCCTCAACAATGGCGACTGTCGCCCAAAGGAAGCTGCCGATTCTGCTCTTTGACGTTATGGACACCCTTGTTCGCGACCCATTTTATCAGGACGTCCCCGCCTTCTTCCGGTATTTGCTTTCCCCCTTTTCTCCCATTCTTTTGGTATATCGCTGTAAGCTATGTATAGTTTATTGACAATTTTGCTGGTTTTTCCTAAGCATTCTTCGTCGCTCTAAGAATACATCATGTCTGCTAATCATTTGATGAATGTTTCCAATGAAATTAGAAGCTACTTGGAACACTTCTTTGAAAGATTTGGAATAGATGGATTTTTCCCAATTCTGGTTTCTTGAAACTGTGAAGGCTCTGGTTTTTCTTTTTACTGGAATAGAAGAGTTGGACATGAAAAATATAAGAGTCCCTTCTTGGGAAAGAAAGGTTGGCTGAGAGGTAGACAAAGCCATTGATGATATACTATTAGTTTTCTCATCTGTTCCCATCAAATTTTGGAGTTAAGCCAAAATAACATGTCATAATTCTGGTAAACTGAAGGTTTTAGACAAATGTTGTTCATTGTGGTGTTGCAACTCTCAACTCTACGTGAGTTTTTGCTTATATAGATTATTGCAGCCTTATAGTATGTATATTTATGCCCCTTAAGAAGTACGTTGTTCTTCATTATCATTTTTTTCAACATTATTATATTGAGATTTTCCATTCAGAATGCCTATGAAGGAATTACTAGAAATCAAGCATCCTACTGCATGGATTGAGTTCGAAAAGGGCCTTATTGATGAGGTATATAAAAGATGTTGTGGAATTTAGACTTGGCTCTTTTTACACCTAACTGCTTTTCTAGTTAGAGATATGAGACATCTCATGAATCATGCTACTCTTAATTCGGGGTTCAAAGTAGAACTTATATAGGAACATAGGCAATATTTCTTCCACCATGAAAATATATTCTTCATTGGTTAAGAGCGCATGCCATTTCTTGTATGATATCTTAAACTGTAAAACTTCTTTTGCATTTAAACCTGACATGCTGTATTTTGTCAGTGTCACCATGCTTTAGTGATCTTGCTTTAGAGGAAGCTAATATGGCATCTGGAAATTGCAATCGAATTTGTCGTGTTCAAGTTTGAAGTTGCTTTTCGGACATGGCATCTCTTATATTTCATAATGCTTTATTTTATTTTCAGGTAGAGTTAGAAAGAAAGTTTTTTAAAGATGGGAGATCATTTGATATGGAAGGTAAATGATAAACTTTTTTTTTTTTTTTTGATGCCTCATCTTTATTGGCTAAAAGGTGATCTGAATTCAAAATTCAAATGCTAGAGAAATATATGAAAGCTGTTGCATGTAACTATGCACATACTGGCCCTGTTTGGTAACGTAGTTAGCTTATTAACCAATTTTGGTTTATTTGACTACTATTAGATGTTTGACTTGATTAAACAAATCAATATGAGTGTTTGATTAATTAGCTTTTTGTAACATCATATTGCTCAAAAATGCTAAAATTCAAAAAGCTGTTCAAATTTCAAAACAGTTTTTTCGATCAACTGTTTGAGAAAGTCATTTTGCATGTAATCAGCTATCAGCTAACATCTAATTTACCAAACACTTTTTCTACAATCAGCTAATGCTATCAACTAGTCAAAATCACTAACCCAATCAGCTAACATCTATTTACCAAACACCCCCACTGTAAGGGAGGAATCTACAATGTTTTCATTGCTGGAAGCTACAACTTTAATTATCAATGTGTAGTGTTAAGTATTTAATTATTTTAAAAAAGGAAAAAAAATGAAAATTAATTCCCAATTACGGGAAGCTTCTCGCTAAGAATCTAGACTTAGCTTGTACTCTTGTGGCATTGTTGCGAGTGTCATTAGGTACTTATGATGGTTTTTTCTTTGATTTCCAAAAGATGATTCTTATTGAAGTTTACAGTCTAAGTCTAATAAATGAATGTTTCGTTTTGTTGCATGGATGTATTCATATGCACCTTTTTTTGGTGGGGTTTTGCGGTTAAGAGATTGCTTTAATATATTACATAATTCAATTACTATATAGCCTATTAGCCTGTATTGTTTTAGGACCTGTAGAATTATGCTTTGTCTGCATAATGGAACTATCTCTACATTAGGAGAGCTTACTTCTATGTTCTGTTTGTTATCTTTTCTCCGCCCATTGTAAAACAAGTAACAAGAGCTTTTGATTCTAGGCCTCAAAAACTGTATGAGAAAAGGATATTCTTACATCGAAGGTGTTGAGGAATTACTTAGTGTGTTAAAGGCAAATGGCTATGAAATCCATGCTTTCACAAACTATCCTATTTGGTAGGTTCAAGTAGTAAATTTTTGTTAATTTACAAACTCATCATTTGTTAAACTCTTCACGTACTCATTTTTCCCCAGGTACAAAATGATCGAAGAGAAGTTAAAACTTTCAAAATACTTATCTTGGACTTTCTGTTCCTGTATAATGGGTACTCTCTCTCTCTCTCTCTCTCTCTCTCTCCCGCTCCAAACACAACACACGTTTTCTTATTTTCTTTTCATGTTTGCTGAACACAGGAAAGCGGAAGCCTGAACTTGATTTTTACTTGGACGTTCTGAAACATCTCGATGTTGAGCCAGCCAGCTGTATCTTTGTTGATGATAGGTGACATCCCGTATTTTGGAAATTATTTTGATCTTTTGATATGATAGGGGAGATGCGTTTCTTTAGAGCATAAACGCATAAAATTCTCTCGTTTTCTTCTTCCTTACGGGTACTTGTTCTTCATAACAAGTACTTTCAGAAGCAAAATGTAGTTTTTGGCTTAGTCATCCTCGTTCCATTATGCACTCGTTTTGAACTTACAGTCATGTTTTCTGCGTAAAATTATTGCTGAAATCTATTATGATATACTTAACCAGACAAAAGAATGTTGAAGCTGCCATTGAAGCTGGTTTGAGAGGTCTTCAGTTCAAGAGCGCGGATGTGCTGCGCAAGGACTTATCGCGTCTTGGTGTTGACATTCAAACAAGCGAAAGTAAAGATCTGGCTGAGTGTTCTTAAGCCGCAAATCTCCCCCGATTTCAGAGCCATAATGTATGTATAGTTTGGCTCATAAAGGGGAAAAATGGACATTTTGAAAAAGATGTTTGACAGAGAAGGCAAGATGATTCAAACAATAAGCTGTTCATGTTCAGCAAAATTGTGTTCAAAGTTCAGCATATTTCAAGTGCAGAGCAACTATTTATAGTTGTTTGGTTCCATTTACAGTTCCATTGACTCTTTTGCCTATTCATTTGATATGCATATTTTAATGTAGAGCATGGATCTGTTTTGGTCCTCTATAAATAAAATTGTTTAAATTTCGTTAAATACAATAACAAAATAAAAAATTAAAATTAAAATATAGCGGGTCAACCCATTATATATATAAAATCATCAAAATGTCATTGTATTTAATGATATTTTAACAATTTTATTGACAGATAACAAAAAAAATCATGGTACAATAATATTATGAACAAAGTGAGATGTTCTGAAACAGGATTAAAAATGTATTATTACCTATAAGTTTAAGACAAAAAAATGAAATGAACTCTATATGAACAAATATAATTTTTTAGCATATTAGGTGATATCGAGACAAAATGTGTGCCAAGAAACAAATTCTTATGTAATGTGAGAAACTAAAAACATGATCAAACCAACTAATTATATTCATAACTTGATGGAGCTCTTCCACAAATTCATATTCGGGGCTAAACCACAAATTCACAAAAGTAAAAGACAATGGATTCGCGTTTTCACAAATTAAAGCTAAAGGGCCAAAATAGAATTAAGGAAAAAATTGGGTAGTAAATGAAAAGTTGACTGGGAATTGGGAAATGATCCGATGCTTGATGCCCTTCCCTTCCAGCATACACCTTCGTATCCATATATAGAGACCCGATTTAAGACAGTTTTCTAATTCCTAATTCCCCTCGAATCCCGATTCCGTACGACAGAGGTACAATGAGTTCCACGCAGTTCGCCATGGTCAGACTTCTTTCTCTATCGCTTTCTAAAATCTGAAATATTTCTTCCTAATTTCGTATGAGCTCTAATGTTCCTAAATAATTACACCGAATTACAATTTTGCTTATAGTTTGAATTGTCTGCTTCTGATGCTAAAGCGTTCATGATGTCTTTGAAGAATCATATGTTTATAACCTAGTATTTTAGTTGCAAGGCTTAGTTTTTATGCTTTTGTAAGTCAACCTAGACTAGGGTTTGCACTCATATTACCATGAATGCAGGTTGAGGAGTTAGCTTCCCTTGTTAAGGACAATCTTCCTTGCAAGCACCTTGTCTTATCTATGGAAGAATCCTTTGTTGATTTTCTTCAGGAAGATACGAGGTACTTTTGTTGTCACCCAACATTTTTGTGTGAGAAGTATATGCTATTTTGAGGCCAGGTTAATATCTGTCCAAGCATTTAAAAGTTGAAGAATCCTGTTGGTATGACAAAATGAACATAAATGATAGAAGCTATAGATATAACTTGCATGTAATCGTTAAAAAGGGCTTACCTATCTGTGGTCTATTTCTGTATGCTTATTTATGGTCTAAACCTAGAATGTATTGGGACCTGATTGGCCAACTGTATCTCAATTAGCTTTTTGAGAAAATAAATTATACCAAACAGCTATCAGCTAAAAACTAATTTACCAAACACTTTTCTACAATCAGCTAATGTTATCAACTATTTATACCCTCCTCTAATTAACACAATCAGCTAACAACTAACAGCTATTAGCTATCAGCTAACAACCATTTTAATGGACTTATGCATGGTGAAGAGAGACAGAGAGATACAGTTGCCCCATTGGTTGCTTTGGAATAATTTCTAATGAAATATTGTTATGCAGTTCAAATGGGGTGTTGGAGTTGGAGCCAATGAATTCTTATAGTCGTCTTCTTTTACATCGGCTTGCTGATATTTTTGGGTAAGTTGGTAACTATACTTCTCTCGTTTTTGCTAGACTTTATGTATGCGATGCTGCCAAGGTGGCTTTAGAATGACTGTTCTGTATCTTTTAGCTTGCGGCATGTTTCATGAACATCATTATTGTCTTATCCTGCTAGATTTTCTCATCATTCAGTTGGTGAAGGAGAGGACCGGCACTTAATTTTGGAGCGATGCCCTGAGACATCAATGTATGTGAAAATTTAAATAGATACAGTGTTTGCTCCTTCCTAACTGACTTCATTTTTAAATATTCTTTGAAATGTTCATGCAACTATATTCGAAGAATTTGAAATTGGAATTAAGTTGAAACTTGTGCAATGCTCTAAATTTGGGACCCAAACTGAAAATAGTTGGTCGTTATAGATCTCTGTCGTCTGACATTTACAGCAATTTAACTTGCAGCCCTTCCATCCTTGTTAGAGATTTATTGTGGCAGTACGGTGAAGTGCAGTCTCCCAAGAAATTTGATATACTATCACGAAAGCAAGAAGTTTCAGATGGTATAACATTTTGCCCTTTGCAAATATAGATGGATTTTTGCCATTTGCAGTTTTGACACTGTCTAATAAAGTCTCGTTAAGATTTTGCTAATGCTGTGGTCTCAAATAATTTCATTTTACACTGCTTTTGGGATCCATATACACTATGGTGTTTCGTCAGTTAACCTTTTGGGGTCTATACTTCTATGGGGTGATGCATTTTACATACGCCTCAGGGTTGCAGGTAGAGAATCAAGAGATACTAAATTTGAAATTTTCACTTGAGGAGAGAGAAGCAGCGTATCTCGCTGCCCGTGAGCGGATATTTGCAATTGATGGAAATGGGACAGAACATATGAGTGAGAGGCCGAGGAAGGATCTTAAGGTTGCCCGGAGAATGATAGAACGTGCACTTGGCCAGAGAATCAGGCCATCCAACAATGAGGTAAACTGCAGAGATACTGAGCAAAGTGGAAGGCGAACCATGGATGGTTGCAAGGAAGAAAGGGGATCGAATTCAAATCCGAAAAATGTTCATTCGAAGTCGGGTGGTAATCCTGGAGGGAGCAAACGGGATACTGAGATGAAAATGCCTATAAACGATGGCATAGGTTCTTTGGGCGAAGAAGCAAAAAACGATGGCAAGATTCAGAAAGAAAACTTCAGAGAGCAGCATGTGGGAGCCGCTAAGAGAATGTTCGCTAATGCTCTAGGGTTTTCGAGAGATGGCAGTCTATCGAGACAAAGTGAATCGAAACATACCAACAGATTAACCTCACGGTAGACTTTACACAGCAAAGTCCGATTCTTGCTTTTTGTACTCTGGAGGAGCTCAGCTGGTATTATGTATTTCCAGTCAGTGATTGACCCGACAAAAACGAATCACGGTACTTTTGTACTACTCACACTGATAGCCATTCGAGATGTTTGTGCGTGCGTTCAAGGAGAATGGAGAAGACCAGTGTTATGCCTTTATCGTTCATCTAGTGTTGTGCTGCCCAGGTTCCCGTGGTCGTATAACTGTTACTAGGTTGGAACTTGGAAGTGATCGAGGTTGTCCAATTGTCGGAACTACTGTTTCTTGTCTACCCACATCTTGTATTCTTACTGCCCTTCCTTCAATGGGGATCATACAGACTACAGAGCCACATGCCACCTATATTATGGTTATGCTTTGTTTCTCTCCTCTCTCTTTTGGCCATGTAACTGCAAATTAGGAACATTAGTTATGTCAGGTGTAATTTAGATCTTAGAAGAAATATGGTGTGTAACTATTTATGTTATGATACCCGGGATTTAATTTTGAAAATGGGAGATTATTATGAATTATGAAATCTTAGATTGAGCTTTCAAGTGATTTATAACTGTGTGTATGTGTCCTTGATATAAGGATTAGAATGAGTCAGGACGATTATATCTATGTGAAGCATGATTCTTGTATATAAATAGTATGTATTGACGAATGTATAATATAAACAGATATATAAATAATATGTGTTGACGCATGTCATAATATAGGGTTGTGTTTAGAAACTAGAAAATGATTTCTTTTCAGAAAATATTTTTTTAATGTTTTGTTACATTATAAAAAATTATCTTAGTGTATTTAGTTCATTTTTTTAACAGAAAAAGGTCAAATACTGAACTTTATCTAGTCAATTCGAAAAAACCAAAAAAAAGAAAAGAAAAACTCATTCGCAGAAACATTAGAAACTCAAAAAATAATTTATGAATTTCTAAATACATTCTAATTTTGAACCCGTCTATTACTACTTTGATCATGAGAGAGATACCATTAAGTTACAAATTATTTGGTCATACACTCATACATCCTTTAATTATTTCATAAAAAACTTATGAAATTTATTTTAAATTAATTGACTAATTAAATTATGCTCAGTAAATTTTGTTTTAGTACTGGCATGCCCACCACGACGGCCTGAGCTTCACAAGCCGTCTTCTCCGGCGGGCGCAATTGCTTGTTCACATGCTCCGATGTCAACGCAAAGGCTGCTGCTTCGGAAAACAGAACTACTTTTCAGAGCAACGCCAACTTCAGCTTCTATTCCGGTTCTGGAGCAGGTCCACTGCTCAAATGAATCCCCAATTACAATTGCGAGTTCGGCGGACGCCTTCTTGGTTGAGAAGATTATGTGGACTCTCAAACAAGGTACGCATTCTCGGAGTTCTCTGTTTCTCCGGCTAAATGCATCGGTTTATCTCCAAGTTGTTACCAAATGTCGCGATGATTTGCGTTCCGCTTCGAAATTTATCGACTCGGTCGCCTTAAACCACCCCAATTTCAAGCATTCGTCCACGTCCCTCAGCGCCGCCATTCATATACTCGTTAGGTGTAAGAGAATATCCGAAGCCCAGGCTTTGATACTGAGAATGGTTCGAAAGAGTGGTGTTTCCAGGGCCGAGATTGTGGAAGCTATGGTTTACACTTATAATAATATTTGTGGATCGAATTTATATGCTTTTGATTTGTTGGTCAGGACTTATGTGCAGGCTAGGAAGTTGAGGGAAGCTGTAGAAGCTTTTCGACTGTTGCTGAGCAGGAGATTTTGTGTTACTATAAATGCTTGTAATAGTCTCCTTGGAGGCCTGGTGAGGATTGAGTGGGTTGATTTGGCATGGGAAGTGTACAGGGAAGTGATCAGGAGTGGTGTTCCAATGAATGTGTATACTCTGAATATAATGGTGAATGCTTTTTGTAAAGTTGGCAAAATTGAGGATGCAAAGTTGTTTATTGATGAAAGGGAGGAAAAAGGGATTTTTGGGGATATTGTGACTTACAACACTCTGATTAGTGCTTATTGTCGTGAGGGACGTCTAGAAGAGGTTTTTGAACTAATGAATGTAATGTCCCTCAAGGGATTGAAACCATGTTTGTTGACCTATAATTCCATTGTTAATGGATTGTGTAAGAACGGACAGTATCAGAAGGCAAGGGATGTTTTGAACGAGATGGTGCATAGTGGATTCGTCCCCGGTACTACTAGTTATAACACATTGCTTGCTGAGTGTTGTAGAAAAGATAATGTGCCAGAAGCTGAGTCGATTTTTGAAGAAATGGCTCGTTTAGGTGCCCTTCCAGATTTGGTTAGTTATAGTTCACTAATTGGGTTGTTTTCAAGAATTGGACGTTTTGACCGGTCATTAGCATATTTTGAGGATATGAAACTGAAGGGGCTTGTACCAGATAATGTGATTTATACTCTTCTTATTGGTGGCTTTTGTAGAAATCATTCTGTATCAGAAGCTATGAAGATGCGTGATGAAATGTCAGCTCAAGGCTTGCCCATGGATGTAGTTACTTACAACACTATTTTGAGTGGTTTATGCAAAGAAAAGATGCTTTCTGAAGCAGGTCTAATTTTCAATGAGATGGTTGAAAGAGGTGTATTTCCTGATTTTTGCACTTTCACAACGCTTATAAATGGATATTGTAAGGATGGTAATATGAAGAAGGCACTTTCGCTGTTTGATACTATGATCCAACGAAATCTCAAGCCAGATGTTGTAACATACAATACCTTGATTAACGGGTTTTGCAAGGCTGGTGATATGGAAAGTGCTTTTCAACTAAGAGATCATATGATTTCTAGAAATATATATCCTAATTGTATTACATATAGTACTTTAATAAATGGCTACTGCAACAAGGGTTATATTTTTGATGCATTGAGATTGTTTGATGAGATGATTGGTAAAGGTATTAAGCCCACTGTTGTCACATGCAACTCACTCGTTAAAGGATATTGCAGATATGGTGATGCAGAAAGGGCGGTGGAGTTTCTTAACAAGATGCATTCCCGAGGTCTACATCCAGATTCAGTTACATACAATACTCTAGTACATGGTTTAATTATGGAGGAGAGCTTGGACAAAGCTCTAAGCTTGGTTAATGAAATGGAAAATCATGGGCTATTACCTGATGTTGTAACCTACAATGCCATTCTCAGTGGGTTTTGTAAGTTGGGTAGGATGCAGGAAGCCAATTTGATATATAGGAAGATGATGAAGAAGGGCATAAATCCCGACAGATCCACATATACATCATTAATAAATGGACACGTCTCACAAGAGAACTTGAAGGAGGCTTTCCAATTTCATGATGAAATGCTCCAAAGGGGCTTTGTGCCAGATGATAAGTTTTAACCTGGTCACTATCTAGTTGAAGAACCTTGTGGGATTATCTGTGCCCTTCCATTTTATGAGTTTGCTTCCATTCTGCTGACATTCCAGAGGCTGCAGCCATTTTGGTCTATACATGACTTCTCAGACGGGCTACAGGTTGCTGCTTAATAACAGAAGTGGGTATATTTCACATTTTCGCTAGTTTCCTTCTCTTATAGTTTTTCTTATGGTGGTATCCCACATTCTTGCAGTAAAAGTTTCAATTTTTATACCATTGATAAATTATTCTCAACATGGAAAAAGTTCTTTTTGAAGGAATACCACATAAATATCGAACTTGACATTTTACTTTCTACATAGGATGGGGTCACGTGGCTGGTTGACGCTTGACAATATTGTATCATTTTAGTGATGCATGCTCTTTCATCTACAATTCTGGACTCAAGATAAATATCCTTCTGCATATAGTGCCCTCTTATGTCTGTCCTAGTGTGAATAGACATATTCTTATGCCTACGGTTCTCTTATATGCTGGTCCTTGGTTCAACACTTCAACTACATTTGCTTCAGAATAGAGAATGCAACCTCAATGGAGAGTGCAGATCGAACTAGGTATTTGACACAATATCATTGTTAATGAGATCACATTATATGAACTGAGTTTGCTAACACAAGTATTCGTGATTTTTTTTTTAATTGTCTTTATAGGTTTCAATCTTCAGGATTTTCAGAACAATGGACGTTCTTCAGATATTTGGTGATGAATGATTCAAGCTTGGTTGTCCATACATAGATGTAAGTATATTGATCACGTTGGACTTAAGTTGTACTAGTACACATACTATACAGGTCTTGGCAAGACTGTCTTGCATAACATTTTAATATACGTGGCACAAACACTCAAGGAATGGGTGGTTAAAGTATGTTCTTTGTGTGTATAGGTTGTGCATGATGCCTTGTATTTTTGGCTTAAGGCGTCCTGCCATCCTCTGTAGTAAACGAAGCCTACCTGTTAAACCCTGACTTTTAAGGGTAGACTTCCAACATTTATGATATTACTACATTAGTTTCTGCATCTCACCCCTGTCTGGTTCTTTAGACTATTCAAATTCAATGGTGAATATACAGGTGACCTTTGATTTTTATGCATGTACAATTAAGTGAAATTCTTGTTAATTTTCCTTTCCTTCTACTTTGTTCACACATCATTGCCTGGTTGAGGTTGAAAATTCTGATATTTTCACATGAATATTTCTACTTTCCCCTTCTTATTTCACATTATGATTTGATAATAAAACTCTTTATATTCAGTGGGGGAACCCCACCCACGTTAGAAAAGGAATTTAAGGGAAATAAAATGAGATTAATCTTGTTCTTACTAGGTAGGACCTCAAATAAAGCCGTTAAAATAGGCTTTGCCCGTTGGACCTACTTAGGTAGGGGTGAGCTTCGAAAATAGCAGCCCGTCAATGGGTGGGCTTTTTTGGCCCGCCTCGTCTAGGCTCGTGGGCTGCCCGACACTTATTTAATATATATAATATTTTATAAAATCTAACTATAACCTAGCAATTAATAACCATAACCCTAGTTTAATGTTTTAAAATTTTAAACTATGGACTTTATACTTACTGTAATGTCTAATGTTTGATGAACGATGTCTTATGTTAGTTATGTAACAAGTTATTTTAATTATTTTTAGAGTGTACAAATGGTAAAACTTAACAAAGTAACAACTTAAGAGTTGAGAACAAACAAAAAAAAAAAAAAAAAAAAAAAAAAAAAGTGGTGTGGCGGGCGCCCATGGCTAAGGGAAAGGCGGGCCAGTAAAACCTAGGCTCGCCAAGGACTCAAGGAGTGGGCTTTTTTTTGCCAGTCCCGTCAGTCCATATTGACAGCTCTTCCTCAAAGGGTGGTAAAATATTCCTTCATGAGTTTTAAGGTAGTTGCATTCTCATACTAAAATTCGAGACTTTTGAAAGTTTCTTATTAATCAAATATAAACAGAACATATATATTTGTTTCTCTCTTTCTCTAAATTAAAATTATGATATCATCCTTTTGTGCAATAATAATAATTTGCCCCTTTTGTGAGGTGGGACACAAACATTGAACAGAAAGGGATACGGTAAAAAGGAAAAGATGAAGCAAGCTGTGAACTTAGGGCTGTTTTTTTCCTTTTCTGGTATCTTATTGCTAGTTGATATTTTGTTTTATTCTCAAAATGTAGCAATTGGATTTGTTTTTTCCATGTTGTTGCTAGCAAGTTAGGCATACTTATCTTTCCCCAATATATTCAAACTAAATCGTCATTGCTTTGATCATTCATAAACCCTAAGATTTTTAGGTGAAAGCAACATTTTGGTCTTTTTGAGATTTAAATTCACAGAAATCCGTCCATCAATCACGACAGACAAAACCACGTTGAGCAATATTAGCCACTGAAACATATATATATATATATATATATGCTCACCACTTTCCAACTAGCTTAGCTTCCTTTTTGTAATTAATTTTTCAACGCGATAGATCAAACAACTTGAGCATGGCGGTTGTCAAGTCTCAACTCGGGACCAGTCCAAACATTAATTATTAGTTTAATCTTTATTCGCTCTATATTTTCATTCAGTTGCCTAGCAAAACAAAGATTATGGAGCTATTTTATGTTGGTTGGCCAATGGCCAGTTGAGCTGTGTCCCGGGATGGTTTAAACGTTATTTTAGATAATTTGCGTTAAGTTCTCTTTTAAGTTTTAATCTCATCTTAAGCAATTCAAATAAGATCTTCTCTTCGAGATTGAATGTCTAAAAGTCTGCAACTCAGCATGTGATAAGTAAAACTCCAAGAATTGTACCCGACTATCTGTACTAGTATGTAAGATCATGTCCGATAAGCTAAACAAATTGAGTAAGAATTGAACTTATAATCTCAAGGTATGAGAATTATGTTGTATTCACTCGATCACCCCTTTCGGGGCTTAAGTTGTATTTTTTATCTTCTAAAAAACTACTTGGGTAAGAAGTGATTTTGTTTGTTTAATTCAACAATGCACAAATGATGAGATCAGAGAAGTTGATGGGTTTGTTCTTATCTTCCCAGGGATTTTAATTTAAATTTTAATCCAGATTTATTTAATGTCTTATCTTCTTCTCTTCTCCTTCTTCATCATCATCGGCACTCAGCGGCTGCAGCAATTCGAAACCTTCACATGTTTCTTTGATGTGTGAATATGACTTTTCTAAACATTATTACCCACTTATTAATCGTCGCATTTGAGGATTGAATCAATACCCAAATATTATTTAATTGTATATATGGAGCTGAGAATGCACTTTAGGCAGATAAGAATAGACTACATCAAGGTTTCTAAACACACGCACATATACTGTTCGATCAAATGAATATAACAATTTGGCTAAAACTTTTGAAGAATCTAATACGTCTCAACTAAATGTTTAAATTGATAGTTATACAACACATTTATGATTATATTAGTTATATTAAATGAAGCATGTTGCATAACTAAATAAATCATAAACGTCCGATCCAATGTTAAAAAGTAATTGTACAATTATATTAACAAAATAAATAGAAAACTACAATAGTTTCCACGTACAATTGATAATTTGTTTAAAATTTATATATATTTATCATATTTAATTCTAACAAAATATTTGTATAATATATTAAGTAATTGAGATCAACATCAAACTATTCAATATTGAAGGATTTACATGATAATTATATGTAGTTGAGTATTCATTTTGTTGAAACTCAAGAAAATAAGAGTTTTATATATACTTAACACTATAAAAAAATATTATACAGTTAAAATATTATAATTAGAAAATAAATTTCAAAAAAACTCATAGAAAGGTAAAAATTAATAAATACTACTCCGCAATAACAAGAAATCCTTATAATTGAAATGGTGAAGGTAACACTAATAAGAAAATTGTAAAATTAAAATGTATTTGTAAATGTACAAGAAAGAAAGTTTAATGTATAAGTTATTAATGCAACTATTTACATTAACATAGTTTTAATTGTAATTAATTACAACTTAACTGTTAGATTTAACGAAAAAACTTAAAGGATGAGGGGTAATATAAGAAAGAGAGTCTACGGTATAAATCATTAATGCAATCTATTACACTAATTGTATTCCCGTTACATATAACTCTAACATTATTAGCTTTTATTATATTTAGCAAACATTACATTCTCAACATGCTCCTCACATGTGCGGCTAGTTACTTTACACGTGAAACATAGTCTCTTTTGATACCAAATTGAAATATGTCATATGTTTCTACCTACTAAATTTTTAAGTTGATAGTTAAACTCTACATTTATGTTAATATATTATACTTAAAAATTTCAGATAGATAAATACACCACTATAATTACAATATAATACCCTAAGTAAACATTTGAAACATAAATAAATACTCCGAATTTACATTATTGATACCTTTTTTACAAAATGTATTCTCGGTCAATAAACTTAAATAGGTAGGGTTTTTCTATTCACCAAAAAGTCATTGGCAAATTAAACATAGAGTTAATTCCACGGGAGGTCCCTTGTATTTGGTGGCAATTACATATTTAGTCTCTGATTGTCATTTTTATCATTTAACATTCCAGACTTTCATATTTTGGACACTTTTAATTCTTCAAGTGATTTTTCCGACAAAAGCCTATTATAAAAAAGGGCAATTTGGTCTCTTCACTTATCTCTCTTTTTTAAAAAAACATTTTTTTGCTCAGATTTTTGTTAAAAATTTTGTTTAAGAAGGTTTATGAGGATGTACATGGTATTGTACATGTGTGAATTTGATTTTTTTTTTTTTTTTTAAAAAAAAAATCGGAACTAAATTGTGAAAAAAAAAAAAAAAAGAAAGATAAGTGAAGAGACCCAATTGTCTTTTCTTAAAATAGACTTCCACCGGAAAAGTCACCGGAAAGACTAAAAGTGTTCAAAATATGAAAGTTTAGAATGTTTAATAACAACAACAATAGTCTGAGACTAAATTTAGAATTGTCACCAAAGATGAGGGACCTCCGCTAAAATTAACCCTTAAACATATATCAAAATCCCAAGAACGAATTAAAATTCAAAAGTTATAATAATTATGATTTAACATCACCATTATATTACCATTCTGCAATATTCAAACGTGGCCTAATAAACAACGGGCAAAAACGTTAATTACAATTTATACTGCGGCTTGAATGCTTGAATGCTTGATGATGAAAGCTAGAGCACGGGTTGATGAACATGCATTACACCTCATGATGAATAACCAAGCCCTCGTTTATAGACTCACCCATTACAGATCAGAATTGGTTTAAACTTGACCATAGTATATATAATTCATGAACATAATGATGAAGAGCAGATTAAACCAACCAACAAATTAAAACAAATTCAACTCTTGCATGTCAGACTTACCTATTACTCTTCTCAATTTGAGTTAGTCAACAATAAATAATCTAACTAGACTGGTAATTATATCTCCTTATAATTCTTCGGCGGTTAATATTACAATGCGAGATTCATCCATAGCGTACTTTTACGTAAATCAAAGATTAAACCAATTAACAAAATAATTTGTTTGCCCGCACGGGCTTAATTAGTTGTTCAGTGGGTAGTATTTGGGTGAAGAGACCGACGTTCGAAGCTCAGCAACAATAGTGTGAGGATTGTATATACTCAAAGTGGTGGGCAGATCCCTTGTGCGCATCGTGATTTACATCCTAATCTCATTCTTCCAAATGCTCTGTCGGGTTAGAGATTTAACGTAACCTTTTGGGAGAAAAACAAAACTATATATATATATATATATATATATATATATATATATATTTGTAAACATTATATTAATTACAAATTGGAGTAATATAAATGCATTTCAATTCCGGCCTTTTCAGGTTAGTGACATTATATTAATTACAAATTGGAGTAATATAAATGCATTTCAATTCCGGCCTTTTCAGGTTAGTGATCGACATGCATGAATCATGATCGAGATTATGATGGTCAAGTTTAAATTGGAGTTTTACTAGTCAAATGTATATAAATAGATACAGATATACAAACATCTTTCCAGCTACTTGGACTATGAGTCGTTGACCACAATAATATCTCTAGGGCTTCGAAAATGATGGTCCTCGCGTCGACATGTTCATGATCACAACTTTAA